ATTATATTTAATGTATTTTCCAATACATCTATGGCTGTTTCTGATTCATTCTGCTCCCACTCATAATGCATTCATTAAAATTCTTTCAATTTTTTTCTATTACGAACTTCACAATCCCATAACACATTTTTAAGGCAAATGCTATATGAATTTCTTGTGGCAATTTGGGAAACACTCTGAAATCTGAATAGCAAAGCCACAAAGTCAGCTCCCCAAGTCAATTTTACTTTCTTTCAGGTGTAGCTATCTGATCTCTGACCTCCAAATAAATCTTTGCACCAATCTCATGTGAATTAGGAAAGGCTTTGCCGTTAATGGTTAATGATTTGGGTTCATTCCCCAAATCTTTTTAACATATCTCTAGAGAGGTGCCTTGTTCTGATCCTGCAAGCATTTTGAAGCAGGAATGTCGTTGCTGTTGTTGTTGTTGTTGTTGTTGTTCATTTGCATAAGAAGACACAAGCACAGAAAGAGAAACATGCCTGCAAGGACAAAATAGGGCCCACTCTGAGATATTGGCAATGGCCACTTTTTACTCTGTACACAGTAAGAAACAGTGGATCACAACACAAAAATAAAAACCACGGCAGTAAGATGAGCTTGGTGGAAATAAAGTAAGCCTATATCTTCTTCTGAATTACAGTACCCATTCTGGATGCTTTATTTTTTTATATGAAAACAGACACTGGGTAGAAATGGCAAATTGTAAAATAAACATTGAGTCCTTGCACAAACATTGAGATATTTTCTATTATTCACCCTGTGAAAAGTTTTTCATCGAAACATAATGAAAAAGGCTAAAAGAGCTTGTTAACAGAAATATATTAGATCAATAAGCAAACAGAGAAAGGATTATTAAATACTACAAACAGTGGTTCTTTTTTAATGTAGCAAATAATACATTCAGTATTGACTGGTTAAAGAACTTAGAAGCATCTTAAATTTAAACATTTAGCATTGCAGGATAGAGAAGAGTACAGAAAAGGATTTCACCTTAAATTAGTGTTTCAGGGCTACAATTTCAAGTATATTAATATCTTGTCCAAAAAATGATACTATCCAATTGCCAAATATTAGTTCTTTTTACACCATATTGAATGTGAACAAGCAAACAAAACAATTTCTTAACTGTATATGTAAAGGAAAGTAAGTCTAAATATTCAAGCTTTTTAGAAACAAACTTACGACTTGCTGTGTTGGGTTGTGAAATGGGAATGCTGTTTGGGAAGAAAGCTCCTCTCCAACACCTAGGCTGAAAAATGACTTTTCCCTTTGTTTTTAAAAAAAAAAAAAAAAGTAAAAAGAGGTCCTCTTCTCTCTGTAGACAGGAGGGGTATTTGGGTTCTAGCTTGGGAAATTTCCAGGTGATAGCCTGGCATACCTATAACAAGATTAAGTTTTGTGTTGGAGGCAGAGTTCACTGAAGAGGAGTCTTCTAGTAAGGACAAGAAACCCAGACATTTCAGGGTTGTATTCCAGAGGACTCCTCATCACTTCATACAATTTTCTAGCATTTTGTTTGAAAAAAATCAGTACTTCAAGCTCAGCACTAAGGCAACATCCTACTGAGCTCCATGGAGCATATCAGTCCTGGCCACTAAGATTTTAAAGGACACACCGGAACAGAGGAAGACAAAAAAGAAAAACGTTATCTTATAGAACAGATATTCTCCAGGGAGCTAATGAGTAACTTGAAATTAACCACTACCAGTCATCAAGAGGCAAAGATAGATAAAGAAGTCAACTACAAAGACAACAATGTGTGCTCAAACATTGAGCTTTATGTTTACAATATGTAGGTCCTACAGAATCACTGAGCTCTGCAACTGTCAAGGGAAACAAGTTTGGTATGTAAAGCTAGCACACATTAAGGACACACAACATTAAATACAAAAAATAAAATGAAAAAACAAAAACAAAAACAAGAGAAAGGGGCCCATGCTGTATAGCCCATGAACCTCATTGGCTTTATAGTGAAAGTTTATTGTTCTTAATCCTAGTACAATCAGCTACCAATTACATACAGTATAAAAAGGAAACGGCCACAAAGCAATGATGATACAGTCTGTGACTTTGTACAGTGGAGGAAATCTTCTGTTAGATCTCTCCCATGATCCCACCCTGGCTTTAGTAGCTAAGCTATCAATCCCTCCCTTCCCAAAACAGTTAAAAAGAAAACTCGCATCTTGCTCAGGTACAGCAAGACTCTAACACCTCTTGGGGGACACGAGATCATCTGCCAATATTTAGAGAAACTTGTAAAAACTAAAGCAGCAGAAATAAAACATAAAACTGAACTTGGAAGCGATGTGACCCCCAAAGGATCTCCATGAGTCCTTGACTTCAGAGTGCCTAAAAGCAATCATCCTGCAAAGAAAAGAAAGGGGTGTCATATAGCATAACGTAACAGGAGAAAAAGTACAATCCTGCAAAACGATGGTACTACATCACTATATCCTCTTGAAAAGTCTACAGCAGATCTAAGTTTTCTTGCTGATCAAGTGTTTGGAGGAGGGACGGAGTTATACAAACTTGCTTCCCTTTTTAACCTCATTTATAGGCCATTACCCACAAAGGCATGTGATTTGTTAGCATAAGTAACTATTAGAGAACTGGAAAAGTATGCAAGTCCTCTTAGGAAAGGATGCAGTCATTTTTTTTAGGCAGAAACAACTACTTTACAGACTGTTTAGAAAATGTCACACTCTTACCTTACAGGCAATAAGGACTCCATTCAATAACTAAGTCTCAAATATATTTGGTGCGATTGAGGGCTCTTTCAGCAAGGTGACCACTTTCATCTGTGATCTTCTCCCAGTCAGTCTGTCCAACCACAAAACCTATGGCCCTTTTCCTATCTGCATCTTTCTTTTCTTCCAAGTCTGCCCATCTTACCTACAAAGAACAAAGCATTAGGCTGGGCCTTTGGAGAAGAAATATGTAAGAATATAAGTAGCTTCCTCCCTTCTCTGAATAGCCCATGGTATGGAGAAATAAACTTAAAATCAGTGATTTAAACAATGAAGCCTATTTAAACATAAAAGAATTAATCCAAGGAAGAATGGTAGAAGCTCTTCTCCTTGAATCACAGGACAGTAAATTCTTGAAACACTTCATAAGACAATAGCTTTCATTTTGAATATAGTAGAAACACATAGAACGTTAAAGTGCTTTCTATTCTAACTCCATGATTAAAAAATAAGCACATCTGTAAGAAAAGATAGGCTGAATAAACCTTGATATAGTAATTGCCATAAAAATAAGATGAAATGCTTAGTATTATTACTATACTTCTGATGTGTTCAAATATCTCCTCTTGATATCTCAGAGACAGAAAAAGAGAGAGTATAGTCACTAACATACTTATTTAAAGAGAAGAAAAGATCAATCAACAACAAGCACTTATTAAGTGCCTACTGTATGCCAGGCACTGTGCTAAGCATTGGAGACACAAAGACAAAAAAAAAAAACAGTCCCTGCAAAATGCTCTCCACATCCAGAGAAAGAACTAGCAGACTACTGGCTCTTTTTTTTTTCTCTTCTGTTTTGTTTCTTCTTTCTTGTGGTTCTTCTTATTGGTTCTAATTCTTCTTCACAACATGACTAATGTGAAAATATGTTTAATTGGAATGTATATGTAGAGCCTACATCAGACGGCATGCCGTCTTGGGGAGGAAGGTGGGGAGAAAAGGGAGAAAATTTAAAACTCAAAAGCTTATGGAAGTGAATGTTGAAAACTAAAAATAAAAAAAAAAAAAGAAACAGTCCCTGCAGGAGCTCAAATACTATTAGGAAAACAATATGTACATATATAAGTAAAAATGAAGAGATATGTAAAGCAAATACAAGGTCATTTCAGGGAGGGGTGTGGCTGGGGTTAAAGGCAACAGGAGGGAGCCCCTGAGCTAAGTTTTGAAAGAGACTCAGGATTCTAAGGGGCAGAGTTGAGAAAGGAGTACATTCCAGGCAGGGGTACAGTCTGTGCCAAAGTACAGAGATGAAGGACAGAATGTTGTGTGTGAAGAACTGCCAGCAGGATGGTCTGGTAGGAATGTAGGTTTGTAAACAGTATTTCTGTGGAATAAACCTGAATAGTGAAGCAGCAGCCAGATTACAAAGGCTTAAATGTCAAAGAAGAGTGTATAGTTTATCCCAAAGGCAATAATGATCTGCCACAAGTTTTTGAGCAGGGGAATAATCCAGTTAGACCAAGGCTTTAGGAGCATCACTTTTGCAGCTGAGTAGAGTTGGAATGGAAAAGGAAAATATTTGGGGAAGACAGATCAATAAGGAGGATATTGTAACAGACCAAGAGAGAAATTAAATGATAATGAACATGATGTTAATTAGTGGCAAGGTTTGGCCTCGGAGACAGGAATCCTATTTCCTCTCCTATGCCAGTAACCGCTCTAGGACAGAATCTATCATATTTGGGGATTACGAAGAATATTAACAACAAATCTTCTCCAATGGAATGGAAACTCCTTGGGAGCAGAAACCATCTCCTTTTTGTCTCTGTATCTTCAGTACCCAACATGCTACATCAGACACAGGAGGCAGTTGTGTTTGTTGAAGTTACTGCTCCAGTATTTAAAAAACTTGTAGGTATAATAATACGGTATGCAAACACTGACAGAGCTCTTGAAATGAAAATGAATGTGAAACAGCTTCACGTCACACATCAATTTCTACAATCCTTATGCTTGGTAAAGCTATTTATCAGAACACTCATAAAAGAAGGCTGTGAAACAGGAGACAAAAGTTATTTCTATTCTGACTTGGGAATTTTTCACATTTTCATTGGGGGTAAACCACTGCTTTCTGAATGCTAATTATCATCTAAAAAGATGATACTGAAATTAGTTTGCTCTCTATGAGCAATGCCTGATACAGATAAAGGTAGGTAGCCTAGGAACATTCTGAATAGCAAAGAAAAACACCACAACAGGAATAAAAATCTGCACAGGATCGAAGCATATTATCTTCTCTCTCTCTCTTTTTCCCTTTTGTTCTGATTCTTCTTTCACAACATAACCAATGTGGAAATATGTTTAATATGATTGCATATGTATAGCCTATATCAGATTGCTTGCCATCCTGGGGAGTGGGGAAGGGAGGGAGAAAAAAATTTGGAACTCAAAATCTTATAAAGGGAATGTTAAAAACTACCTTTACATGTAATTGGAAAAAATAAAATACTATCAAGCAGAGGAAAAAAAAAGAATAAAAAGAAAACTCTGTATACGTGGTGCTAATTATTCCTGATTCTCCTTTGAAAAGTTAATTTTCAAAGTGCGGAACATTTTGTTCAATCTCCTCCACTGGCTTTGTTGAAAAGCCTAGTGAATAATGCTCTTCTCTGCATGTGATGCTAGCAACCTATGTGTAATTCAAATTTATTCCATGAGAGATGTTGGATTTCTTTTGATCCACCCACAGCCTTTTTTGGCTCAATCTCCCTTACGATCAGGGATACACAACCTGTGAGTCAAATGACTGGGGTTACTAGAATAAATAATTTACCCATGAATTAAAGCCACAGCTTTGGTAGCATCAACAGAGCTATCAATATATCCAGACCTCCAACAGCTTAAGCTCATAGGATGACAGGTTTAAAGCTAGAAAGTCATGTGGCCAGGGGGTGGGTGAGTGGGGGAGGAGGGAGGGAGACTAGGTGTCACAGTGGATAGAGCACTGGCCCTGAAGTCATGAGGATCTAAGTTCAAATCCATCCTCAGACACATACTAGCTTTGTAACCTTGCACAAGTTCCTTAACCTCTATTGCCTCAAAAAAATTAAAAAAAGTCACATTAAGGGGTTTCAAACCCAAGCTTCCAACTCCAAATCTAGGGACCTTTCCATTGCAAGGCGCTGCTCCCTTGGACTTTTTTTTTTAATCATAAAATTCAAACAAAGCAAAACCTGCAATTCAAAAAAGGGGTAGAAAGTAGAAAATTATATATAACCACTCTTATTTACAACCATAATTTAAAACAGCTGCTTATCTAAGTTTGAACTAAAAATTTAGTTTCTTTATAGAGGAACACATAGAACAATAAAAAATAAAGATATAACTATTATAAGAAATGTCCGTTGACTAAATGAATATCTGTGTTACTTGGAAGTAATTTTACTTAAATCTAAAACAAATTCCATTTTAATTAAGCATTTTGTTAAAATATAACAATGACAGACACCACAGGACTACCTAATTATTTTGTGGCATAATTTCATTATACCGAAAAACACAAGACAGAAAATGCTAGAAATTATATTCCCAGGATGCAAGACCTGGTTCTGAAATGCAGTTGAAGCACAGCTTCTATATAGGGTTGGACTACAGTAGGGAAAAGAGAAATGTGATAGATATGTGTGTATGTGTATGTCTCTATGTCTGCCTGTGCACACATATATATGCGTACATGTATGCGTGTTTATATGTATACATGTGTGCACGCGCATATGTGTGTATCCTTCATGCCTTTGAAAGCTTTCTGCCCTGTAATATAGCTGTGTGATGACATATACGGATACAGAAGTTATGGCTATGCCCACAACAATAAAAAAACCCATCCAATCAAATACTTGTATTACGGAGAACAAAATGTGCTAGAGAAAATATTCATTATCACCAGATTTGCAAAGCAGTATCACTAAAGGGGTCTTTCCAGTAAATAACCTTTTCCCAGGGAAATACTTTTGATTTACTGAGAATTCTACAGTACAAATCACTACACAGGAGTGTAGACGTGGCTGCCAGTCCTACTCCCTTCCCCTTTAAGAATCCCCACAAATCTAAAGGAAGAGTATGGGAACGGACAATGGCCTGGAGGTCAACTAAGGCAGTAAGCTCGACTACAGATCATCCATTAAAGCATGGAAATGGTTGTGTTACACTCTTCTTATGTTATCTGCTGTAAGAGATTTGTTGATATATGCATATACATATATGCACATATATATATAAAATGATATATATACATATATATAATATACGATATATACACACATACATATTTTTCCTCTTACAACAGTTTTTGGATAGCAGTAAGCTTTATAATGTTCCTCTTAATATTCAAGTATTATAAAATAATATTTCATTTAACAAAGGGTTCTCAATGTACAGAACACAATCTTCTGATTTTCCTCTTAAAGCCAATATAAAAACAATCTTACATTGTGCCTCTATAAATTCTAGCTATTTTTCTAAATACATTGCACCAACCTTCTCTTCTTAGACTTCCACTTTATCTCAATAAGCATATTGACTGGCATGTATAAGTGTTTAATAAATGCTTATCGACTTGCCTTAAACAGGACACTATCCCATTTCCAGTTCTCTACTCTCAACGCTTTTAGATCATTTGAGCATTTCATCTGACAGGTCTTTAGGTCTCTCTAGTACTTTGGATTCACGGAATCTAATATTTTGGATTACAGAAATAAAAGCATGTGGCTCAATAATGTAACATTTACTATTACTTGTCTAATTCTTTCTACTAAAATAAAGCTGAGTCTTTCAGCACACAGGAAAAGTAACTGACAAAGTTTCTCACCCTCTTCTTTCCAGGTTCAGAAGCTCGGGTATCATAATCGTCAGGAAGCTGAAGATAATCCTCCATCCTACTGGCAATTGCTTCCCAGTCCCGCTTCCTCTTAGTGCCAGTCCTCAGGCCATCCAACTTGTCTGAGGGACAAACACAGAGCCGAAGGGTTAAGGGAGACAGAGCGAGTTTGCACGAAGCACATAAACATGGGAAAAGGCTGGAACACACTTTCAGAAGAAATCCATATTTCTGAAAGCAGCATCACTTGTAGATCTAAATTGTCTTCAGGACTGGGATAACATCTGACTCTGAGCAACCTCCATCTTTCACACTGGTTTGGCAACCATAATGATGTCAGCTGAATGATCAGTTCAATGGGCAAAATACAAAGAAAGAAGTGGGACTGCCCAAATATTCACAGCATTTCAGCTGTCATGTTCTGAAGGCAAAATGCAATTAATTCAGGGAACTTCTGAGGGTGATCCTATTTGGTAGTTTAACACAATATTATTGCCTCATATTCAATCTGGAATAATGTTAGTAATGTGTTATATACCCAAGAAAATGCATTGCCAAAGATACAGAGAGGTCAACTGGTGAATAAAATTATTTTAGATCAAGTTTCTATAGAGCACAGAATCCTAGGTCTCAAAAGTCAAAATGATGATTTTTGGTAAAATGGGAGATTCTCCATGGATTTATGTTCTAAAGATACAAGTCAATATGAATCATCATTTCCTTCTGTTTCTTAGTCAAGTACTGTTTGACTATGAGACAAAAGGCTAGGCAAATAAAATGACCAAGTGTTGGGTACAATTTCTGGTCATTCAGTCCCAAAGAGGTAGGGCCCATCATTGTGCTGTAGATAAGAAGTTTGTGATTTTTAAAATTATGTATGTCAGCCTGGATAACTTCAAGAGCATTACTTGTAGAAAATACGTTAATAATATTTATTACTACTGATTCAGAATGCCATGTGTGGAATTGTGTGTTATGCTAGGTGTATTTGTAGCCACATGTGGCACTATAATCACAGATCAAAATTCTTTTAAAAGTTACATTACTGATAATACTTCAATAAAAACAACCATTGTTAAGCTAACATAGGAGAGGCTCAAACTTCAGAAATATCTAGTCATACAGAAACATAAAAATTCATTCAGTCATCAAACTGTGTAGAACTTAACTCTGAAAGAGAAAAGCGGTCGAAGCCTTCAGAGACAAAAGGAGAATAGATAATTTTATGTTTGTTACAGTAAAGTTTAACACACAATAACTATCTATGAATGCATTACAAGTAGGCTTCAAAAATCAGTAAGATTTTATATAATTGGCACAACTTTGACCCTCTTACAGCACAAAATTCTTGAAAATCAACAAGCCAAAGCAACATCTGGTCTATAGAATTGCAAACAATTACCATTTACACTTTACAAGAAAAATTTCTAGCATCTCACTATGGTGAAAATCTCCTGGGTCAGTCAATTATATTCAAGAAGGGTATATCCTTTTAATAACCACAAAAATCAACACTGTACCCATAAGGCTATATGTATGAATTAGAGCAAATCACACAGAACCTCAGAGAAAAGAACTCCTTGACTCATGAAGGGGCAAGGAATATGCATTACCTTTAAAACACAAACATACACACACACACACACACACACACACACACACACACACAAGCACGTACATACAAACCCATGCACCAATAAAGTTCTTCTCAGTACAACAATATACAGTATAACCAGAAGAGTGGAACTGCCCCAACACAGAATATGATATTAAAAGAAAACCCCAAAGGACTTAAGACTTGAAAAGAGGTCAGTTTTGATATTAACATATTTCAAATCCCAATTCCAAGTATCATGGCTACAAAATAGCAATGGTAGGGCATATTAAGAAATAAGAGAACTTTTCCACATGGGCTATCTGACAGGAGTTACAGATTGAAAGTTTGAGATTCGCAACATGGACAAAAGAACAAGCATTATTTCCAGTCACAGTACTCAGGAATGGAATGTCTAATTGAAAACTTTAGTACTTCACAAAGTGTTTAAAAGTTTCTTTCTCGTGTCTGAGGAAAAAATTCACACCCCTCCATAAGACATCCTAGAAACCCAAAACACACAGATGTGTGGCATGAGATAAGTAAAGAAGAACCTGGCATGGCAAATATAGATCTATAAAATGGAGGTATACTTGACATTAATGGCTTTGGGAGGTTAGTTCCAAAGTGGCAGGAAGTTAAGTTGTAAATATGTATCTAAGTAGATCATAGACCCATACTGTATCTTCAAAAGAAGTTACAATATGTAATAAAAGAGAAAAATTCTCTTCAAATTAAACTGTGTTTTCTAAAAGTAAATGGCATTTCTAAACAATCTGTTCCAGGTGAACAAAGAGCAGTTATAAGTCCCGAATGTAAGAACTACATTCTAAATTGAGATGTGGTCAGATTTTTTCTGGAGCATAGAAAGTCAATATACAACAACCTATCAGCACGGGAAAACACCGTTAAGGCAAAAAAAGTAACATTGTTAGAAGGCCGAAACCTGAAATAGAATGCTGACTGATGGTCAAAAATACTTCGGTTTTCACAGTCTGACAAGAGTTTACAATTGTGGTATTTTACCCAGTGAAGTAGCAGCTTCAAGCCTCCATGTCAAATTTGCACAAACTCTGGCCTGGCATCCAATATCTAACATGAAGCAAGATGCTCAAGTCACCACCTGTGCAGGTCCTGTTATAAGATGGCAAGGGCAATATCCCCAACAGTTTCAAAACACACCTGAGTATAGCCTGCTTTAAATGATACTAAAGTCCTATCACTGCAAATAGAATCGAGGTCTACTTAAAACTTATCAAAAATTTTTAAAAAGAGTATAACTTAGTACGTACCTCCGGGGTTCTCAAACATTTTTTGCTCATGGCATAGTATTATTCTTTTCTTTGAGGGATTGGGAGACTCACATGTGTGATTGCAAGTGTAAGTTCCATATAATTCACGGAAAACTCATGCACACAAATTCCTGTGTGAGTTTCACATGCACTTGCAACTACAAGCGTAATTCGAGGTTCTCTTGGCCAAATTTCACAGCATGCCCTTTGAGAACCACTGGGGAACTTAAATGAGTGCAGGCTGAGAAGCTCACCAAGATACTTAACTAGCTGCTTAAAAGCGTTTGGTTTAAAGACGATATTTTTAGCCAGTGACTTCTTTGTAAATGAGGAACCATAGGTGTGCCTTCAGCCCTGTTATGCTGTGATGCTGGTAAAATCGTCATGAGGAAAGTGGAGTGATATCTATGTGTATTCAACTCACAAGGGCGCTTCCAGAATACTTGGAGAATGTCTGTAGAGCACTCAAACAGAAGCTGTTCCTGGTAAATCGATTAATGTGTATTTAATAAACATCTACTACAGGATGCTACAACATTCAAGTAAATTATAACAGGAAGGTAAGTGAAACATGTGCTCTGTTGGATGCCAAAGTCTCACCTCTTAGAAGTAAATTTCATTTCCTAGGCAGACTGCTTGGCTCCTTGAACAAGACTCAAAGAGGTAAGCACTTCCAAGGCCGCACATATTTAATTTACCTTCCACAACTGGACTATCTCCCAAAATAACAAGGTGGTCTGAGATGAAAACTGTTAAGTGGTGTAGAATATCATTATCATTCTGGTTTAAAACAATAAAGATTAATTGCAAACATGTTAGTACTGATTTTCCAGATTTGTAGCCAGTTTTTCAAGAGACTTTAACAAACAATTTCATTTCTGAAAATCACAATCTAAAGTGTCTGCCCTTAACATCCACTGAATATATATAAAATGTGCTTTCTGACAAACAAATGGTAGACAGCCCAGAATTTTTCCAGGAATGACTTCCAAGTTCAATACAGAGTTGCTTGGAAACATGCCATGACTATACTTCATTTGTTCATATGTTTTAGAAATTAGAAAGAAAAAAACTGACTTGCAGAATTTTATCCTGGATCATTAACTTAGATCACATACAGCTTTTTAAGTTATATGCTTAAATGATATTTACCATATTTTTTACTATTCTTTTGTTTAAGTTTATTTTTTCTCTCCCTGACTTCACAGAAAAAGACAGTCAATTGTTGAAGAAAAGGAGAGAAGAATTCCAAAGTCGGCAAAACAACCTAGCCAAATAACATAGTGTATGGAATTTTATTTCATTTTAAGATAACTTTTAGGTGAAGAGGAGGTTTAAAACGTGTTTAAAGAAACATGTACTCATGTATCTACCCATTCTTTTAAGCATGTAAATGACTTTAAAGACGACTGCAGCTGGTTGAAAAATTAAAGGAGATAGCTGGTTCCCATTATGACTTCCCATGCATAGAAAGTACAAGATGACTACCTATATTTTTCAAGCCACATATACCATGTGGTTCCAGAGAATTTTTCAAGAAATTACAACAAAGCACCTGGCCTGGTATAACATCATTTACAGAGTTCTTGAAAGTCTACTTTGATTACACATTTATAATTCATCATTTTATTATGCTAACAGATGAGTCAGGCAAAATGAAAAGCATTTTCTAGGGAACTGCTTGTAGCATGTACCATTCTGATCCAAGCAATCAATACAAGGTGTGAGCAACCTGAATGTTGTTCAAGTAGTAAGACAGTTCGAGAGTTTTAAAACATTCAGCTATTACCTTCCCCACTGCATCAACAGCAAAAGAATATAAGAAAAGCAGAGACTTATAAGCATTCTGTACTATATACACTAATGCAGGATACATCACATTCTCTTGTATTTTCACAAAATGTGATTTTTTTTTCAAAAAGCGTTTTTAAAAGTCAACCCAAAACATCAAAACATTTCTTTGTCATGGCAATAAAATATAGTAAAAGTTCCACTGCATCCATAATTCCATCTCTCCCCAGAACCTTGCATTGAACTACACCCAACTGTGATTTTGACAGTCATTTCAGGCAGTTGTCTCCTTCTACTTTCAGGGAAGTCCTATAAGGAGGGCTCACTCTTCTCAGAGACTTCAACTTCGTAACTGCCCTTTCACTTTACTTTTACTTAAGAATGAGGGTTAATGTACTCAGAATGAAGGCTATGGTTGGACAGTGGTCACATTACACTTTAAAAAACAGATATCCCGTCGGTACTGATGTTACTGATCTATATTAAAAAGTACATAAAAGAATCAATTTGTGAATTGGCAACAAAACTACATTTATTTCATATTTTTTCTCTTTAGTCTAATTATGTAAGTGGCATTGAAATGACTTCATTCATAATACTGTTCACATCTGTATATCATTTTCAGGCATCAGAATGGCTAAATTGCAGGCTACCAAGAAGATATGATGAAAGATGTAGTATGTGTGCCCAAAAGTTTCATTGTGTAAGAGACTCAGGGAAGCCTGCTTTTTAGATAGAAGATCTACGTAAATTACCATCAGGTATAGACATATAAAAACAGGAAAAAGGGAATACCCACCTAGCTTTGCCTCAGATGTGTCCATCTCCCATTTGCTTTTCGGAATGTAACCCTAAATCGTACACAGAGAGAAGCTCGAAGGGTTAGAAAGAGACACATACATGCATATCATTTTTGAATTGGAAACAGTATTAAAACTGGGAATAGATTCAAGTTCCACTCATTAGCTATAAACATTGCCTTGGGTAAAACACAACCTGAATTATCAGCAGAGGAAACTACTCAGTTACTGAATTCACCAAACTTGACTACTTGATTCATCACAGTCCCTATGGATGATTATGAAGACGCTGTAGGGGCAGCTGTGGCACAGACCTAACAAATGTGAGCTCAATCACAGCTGTAAAGCACATAAAACATGAGCACATGGATGGTTACTATACTGATAATGCTCAAAGTAACAGGACTTGTAATACATAACAGGAGCTAGGTTATTTCCTTAATACAACTTCAATTCTCAAATTGATTAGGCATGTTTTCCCAAGAGTGTTGTTCAAGCAAGACATGGTTTGTTTCAATGCAGCTTTAAATACTCAAAAGAAAGGAGAAAACTTAGTATCACTGAACCCAACAGTGAAGTGCAAGCTCATTTTTAAAAGACTTGGTCACTTACCAGTTAAATCTTAGAAAGGTTAGATTTTACTAAATTAATACTTCATTGAAGTATTGAATTTCAAAGCAATTCAAAGTACATTTTATCAGTTAAAAACTATGTGGTAATGCATGTTTTATTAAATCCAGGCCCTAGCATAGTGCCTGGAACATAGCTGGTACTAAATAAATGCCTGTTGATTGATCAACTAATTAAATTACATTTCCCTTTGTGTAAAGTCAAATATCTCAGTAGATTAACCTACTGAATATATTTTATATGTAATAAGCAATTATTTTATGAAAGTCTCTATTTCAAAAAATTCAAGGTCCCCAATATATCTACTTAATTGTCTTGTTTTCAATTGAGAGATTTTGCTTAGTAAAGCTGATTTTTTTCATGCATATTGTGAATCCCATTCCTCTTTATTTGGTGCTCTGTTATGTGTTATCGCCTGACATGCAGACTTTAATATTGGGGTTTATTTTAAGAGCATTATTATTTTTTCAGAAATAGTGGCATCTCTCTCAAGAACCAATAAGATCCTGATACTTTAAATGTTTAAGTTCATACAACCAGGTGAACACACACTGTACGCAAAATATTTGTGACAGCAGTTGTTGGCATCAGGGTATATATACCATAGCACAATTGCTTTAGGAGTCCTGCAGGTGTTGTACATTTCTTGTCATTAGATAGCACCAACAGCTCAATTTCATTTTACTAAATGTTATATCAGGTCATAAATTACACTAGATTCTTCACCAAACACATTTTAAAAATAAGAACAGAAGCAAGACAAAACTATGCTGCAGTGAATGTAATAAAAAGTAAAAAACTGATCCAGTTTGTGCACATTATACCTTACAAGCAGATCAAAACCTTAGCATCACCAGAACAATGTACTGTAGAGACAATGTCACACCTCCTAGCTTCACTAAGACGACAAAATAGCATCATACTACTAATCACATAAAAAAAATGGTTCTATTAACTTAACCAGTTAACTTAGATCTTACTCAAATGGAATAATTTGGACAGTGTGCAAAATGCCAGGTATTCTGTGTGTTCCGTTTATATAAGTAAGACTCACTCTTAACCCTTTGGGTGCAGGATGGTTGGATTTTTCCAAGGATCTTTAATACAGTTAGATTAGGCCCTAACATCAGATCTTAGAGCCTGCTTTCTCCAATGGGTTAACAGAAGTCTTGCAACAAAGCGAATTCAAAGAAAATAGGCATGTACTAATTTCTCCTAAGGTGTGCTGATATCGCCCAGTTCTTTCTTGTGACTCTGATCCTTCCATACTTCCTTAGGTGGCCCAACTTGGGGACAGAAGAAATAATACAACAAGGAACAAACTCTATTGCTTCTCCTGTTGTGTCTCTGAAGTGAAATAGTAGTACTACTGTAATGTTTTCCTTTTTCAGACAATATATTTAAGTACAAGTTTTACCCTACACTCTCACAAGTCAAAAGGCTCCTTAAATGAACTGCACATATTATCTCTTCCATCAGGAAGATGATGTTTTTAAAAGTTAAATCTTTATGTACTTTATGTGTGATCATTTCTCAGCACTGACACTACAGGTAGAGAACAGATGTTAGCAGTCAAATCTTAGCAAAGAGTATGGGTCCTTTACTTGAATTTCCCACCTGCAGTTTAATTTAAGTATGTCCAAGCACAGTTTAGTGAAGAAAAAATTATGTCTTAAAAAACAACGCAAAACAAAACATGCTAAAACTCGTATGCCGTGAACTTTAGAGCTCATTTTTTATGCACATTCAGAATCTATGAAGTGGTTTCTAGAGGTTGACACCATGTCTACAAATGTACATGGTTTTCCTCAAGTCCTCTAAATCACACAAGGGCTCTGTGGCCTCACCTCCTAAAGATTATGTATATATGCTAATAATCAAAACTTTGGGGACTAAAAGGAGGACTCTTTGCAGATTTTCAATAAAGAGTGTAAAGAGGGGATCAAGTGAGCCAAGGAGTAGAATAAATCTAGCACTATTTTGAAACAACAGTTTTTCATGCCACTGTGGGCTCTTCCACTTGCCAAGCTGTTCTACAGGTCGTATTCCTGAATGACAGACTGAACCAAAAGCACCTACAAAATTATGGGGGAAATGGGTTGTGTTAGGTGCACAGGGACTTTTGACTCACTCTATGCAAGCCTAACATGAAGCAAACAATGTCACTGACTATATAGACAAGATACATTTTCACACACCCTTTTAATAGGCTAGAATTTAGAAGAACAAATCCAGCAGCAGGTGGTAATCAACTGCTACTTCACCCAGTAACAGTTCTTAAGCAGGAGCTGATGTAAAACCAATTCTGAAACCTTGTAACAACAGCAGAGACTTATGTAGGTAGTGGGTAAGCTGAGCGCACCACACACCTGCTGGAATGTAATTCTACCTTACCTCTTATAACCTCAGAAAATTCAAATGTGGAATAAATCCCCTTGAGAAGGACTATTCCACCAAAACCTACAGCCTGCAGATGTATGTGTAAGGGGAAGTTTAGATGTGCTCTGATTGTTCTATGAACAAAGACAGCAGAGGCATCTTTAATTTTTGAACAAAGCAATGAGTTTCCTCAAGTCTTCTTAGGCTTGCTTGCATATGGAACCAACTACTTTTTACTGTATGTGGGGAAGCCATGTTACTGGGAATGGAGGACTGAAAGGTCAATTAGGCCCTTCTAATACACAAGCTGTTCAAAGTGGCTGATCATTCTCCTACCAGTTCGCTTTCCTCTTCCTCCGCATCTTTCTTTTCTTCTTTCTGCTCTTCAATATTTGCATCAAAATCTTCCATCTCCACCTGGACACCCCATGCCAAAAGTATTTATAAGTTAACATTTACAAAAACAGTTTATTCCAAACTCTGACTTGGGAAAAGGACACAGGATAAACGGCCAAATCACAAACAATCAGCAGAACAGAAATTCAGTTACTGTTAATATCTAATCTAGCTGTAAGAGCCTAAATTTGGAAGGCAAGGCAGAACAAAGTAGGAAATGTATTTTACCAAATCTTCCTTCGTTATGTCTGTCTGGAATGCCTTTTACCAAGTTAAATGGTCTGCTCAAAGTAGGCACTTAATATATACTACTGGTCTTTAATAACAAAATAATCACTTCAGTATAGAAAAATCTTAAAAAAAAAACTGAAAAAACATTCTATTACCACAATGATTAAAATTGGTAAAGACAAGATTTTTCCCTTATGCAACAGGGAATGTTAATAAACTCCAGTATAATTAACAAAAACTATTTTTTTCATATCATTGATGCTTTCTTCACTAGACTACACCTTTTAGTATACTTTCAGCTTAAATGAAAAGGGAAAATGATTTCTTGAATTTATACAATCATTTCCACAGGCTCATCAATTTTGATGTGGAAGGGCCTTAGTGGTCATCTGGACCACCTTTTGTTCACTCAGGCAGTAAATGGAACAATAGAGTTCAAACTCAGACCCTCCAACTCCAGGTTCAGCGGTCCTTTTACTACAACAACTCTGTCTCCACTAAAACAAGCGAAGTTTGTCCCCACCTTTGACTATTCTCAGACAGCATAAGGGTAACTCTTGTACTTTTAAAGAACAAAGGCTCCAGACACAAACTCCAGAAAGTGATGATTTGGACATCACTCTAAAGTTGTATTTACTGACAAATTTAGTTATCACCTATAACAATGCCTATGAAACTAGAAAGCCCAGAAACCCTACTCTTCCAACTCTCTTTCATTATGAAAATTCAAGGGTTTTTTTGCCTTCACGTCTAAGGACATGTACCTACCTCTTCAATAGCAGCATCTTGCAACAAGGAACGAATATCCAGGCGCATCATATGACGAGGTGCAGTCTCCCAGTGATCAGCCATCTATGGAGAGATTACAATGGTCAGGGAAAGAAGTAGCACTGCGGAAGGAGCAATGAACTCCCCATGAGAAGGGCTGAGTTTGAGTCCTGCCTCTGTCGCTTAGAGTTGTGGTACCTCCCTGAGCTTCAGTTTCCTCATCGTAAAGTCAAAATGAACTAAATGTCCTCTAAGAGCCCTTCCAATTCTGAAAGTCTACAACTTTCACTTAAATATTCAAAGCTTGCTTGAATAGAATGGGAGAAGGGAGACACAGACACAGTTCATGGCAACAGGCTATTATGAGTGATGCTACAAATAATAATAACTGACATTTAGATAGCATTTTTAAAGCATCATAAAGTTCTTTATATACACCTTATCATTTAATACTTAACAGCTCTGTGAAATAAGCACTACAGGTATTATTATCCCCATTTTACAGATAAGAAAACAAACTCAGAGAGGTGTAGTGATTTCTCATGGGTCAATCTAGCTAGCAAAAAGTTAAGGGAAGATTTGAACACAAGTTTCCTGACTTCAGGCAGCTAAGTGGTACAGTGGATAGAGTGCCAGGACTGGAGTCAGGAAGACTCATCTTCCCAAGTTCAAATCCCACCTCCTACACCTCCTACAATTCCACTCCTACACTGTGTGACCCTGGGCAAGTCACTTAACCCTATTTGCCTCCATTTACTCATCTGTAAAATGAACTGGAGAAGGAAATGGCAAACCACTCCAGTATCTTTGTCAAGAAAACGCCAAATGAGGTCAGAAAGAATCAGAAGCAACTGAAAAACAACTAAACAACTCCTGAATTCAAGTCTACCTCTATACTCATTACATTATGCTGCTTCTAAAAGGTAAGACTAAGAGTTTTGAAGCCTAACTGGTTATGTCCAGGTATTAACACCTTTCTTAATGAAACACAAAGACAGCTGCAAAAAAATCTTATAAAATATAAAAATGCATTCTAAAGGAAGACTGTCTTTTATAAGCATATCAGCGGACATCCTGATGAAGCTCCACCAACTAACTTCAAAAGCTTTTGACTCTATACATTTCAAAACAATCACCTTATTAATTTCCTTGAGTTTTCTTCCATGGATGTTCCTTTTGCCACAAGTCTGGTTGTCTGCACTCATTTCAGCTAAATACACCTAGAAAGAAAGAATCAGGAATCAAGCATACCCTCCAGGAATTACTGTGACAACAGAAGGCACTATGAAATTAACTTCTCCTGTACCTCAAAGCCCTTGGTTTTTGCTGCACTCCAAAACTGTTCAAAATGCCTAACTCGGTCATTAATGGCATCTAGAATTATGAAGGGGAAAAAGCCATCATCCAAGGTCTTCTTGAAAGTTTTGAACATGCTGGTACGGTAGGTCTCCTCCATATCAGCTTCATACTCATATTCCATCACCTAGTTTAAGGAAAGATTAGAACTTAGCAGAAATAAAGGAAGAAGTTTAAACCTGCCATCTGATTAGTAGTTGGACAGAATCAGTTACTAGCTCTAAGCACATCTCTAAACTTTGTAATAACACCTCCATATGCAAAAATACTGTTACAAATGTCAGGGGTGGGGGGGAAGGGGAGGACACAGCTGTTTTTCTTCCCTCCCAAAAAATTTTCTATTCCTAAATATATCTTTCTTAAGTTCCATCCCCTAACCACAGAAGTCAGCTACTGGGAATACAGCATACCTTCTTTTTCACCCTCTTTCCAGTATCAGGGTCTTTCTCTTCTTTTTCCACTTCAGTGATGAAGTAATCATCCAGGCTGAGTACTCTAGGTGCAGGTCCCCCACACTCTACTTCCTTATCCTAAGAAGCAATTAAAAAAGGACTATTTTCCTCCTATTAAAACAAAGCCTGCTCTCTAAAGACCAAGGAATCGTTCAAGTTTATTTTCTTAGTTTAGAAACCAGAAAGGCAATTTTAGGACACATTCATAGAAGCGCAGTATCTAGAAAGGCAAAAATGACAGTTTTGCTGTATACTTCCCTGATCAGACCACAAATGGAATACTGTGCTTAGTTCTGGGAGACACATTTTAGGAAGGACATTGAAAAAGTGAAGTATATCCAAAGAAGGGCAACTAGAAGGGGCCTGGAAACCAAGCCATACAAGGAATTAGTTGAAGGAACTGAAGATTTTTAGCCTCAAGAAAAGATTTAAGAAGAGCATGATAGCTATTCGTAAGTTTTAGAAGAGATATCACAGGGAAGAGTGATCTGTTCTACTTGGTTCCCAAGAGCAGAACCAGGCATAATGCATAAGATTTCTGCTTGACAGAAGGGAAAACTTCCTAACAAATAGTATTGTTCAAAAGTGGAATGGGATGCCTTGAAAATCATCAAGTTCCTCATTCTTGGGGTCTTTTTGAAGACTAAGTAACCATTTGTTGGAGGTACTTAGTGGGGATTGCTGTTCAGATATGAGTTAGACTCAAACTCTTAGATCCTGCAAAGTTTTGTAATTTGCCTCAGTGAGCTTCCTGGATTCATCACCATCAGTTAATCTAGTACTTTTAGTGACAACAGTGAAATGCTTGGGCAAAGAGAACAAAAATACATACAACAGGCAGTAGCAACCTGAAGCACAGGGGACCAACAGAAACAGACAAAAGAATCCTACCTCAAAATAGCATGCTGCTGAGAAAAAAAGCTAATCACAATAATATCTTTGTCTTTTCTGAACTCACACGAATAAGTTTTGCAACATGTGTCTTTCCACTTCCAGGTAATCCTCTCATTATGATGACTATCTGAAATACAAAGTAAAAAGAGAAAAAAAAATTAGTCTTTCTCTCTAACAGAAGGATTTCTATACAATAAAAACCTCTACTTAACTGAGAACCTGACAAACTGCTATGAATTATGATTATAGAAGCAATTCTCTACAATTATCTTTTCTGTTTATTTTTATTTATTTTTTTGGCTAGGCAATGGGGTTAAGTGACTTGCCCAGGGTCACATAGCTAGTAAGTGGGTGCATCTGAACTCAGGTCCTCCAGACTCCAGGCTGATGCTCTATCCATTGTGCCACCTACCTGCCCCAATTCTCTACAATTATCAACAAATAAACATAACGAAGTTAGAGCCTGACCACTTTATGGTATGAAAAGATTTTAGGGTACACATTCAGAGAAGCAACTTGAAAAATAAATTCTTTTCCTTAAGCAATCTAATCAAAACTCCTGCTTTTTTTTTCTTCCTTCCTGTTTTCCTTCATATAAAAGGAAGTTTAAAATACAGGTCTCCCATTCTTAACCTCTACTTAGAGCTCCTTTAAGGCATCTTTACAAGGCAGTTGGAAAATTTTTTTTAAAACTCTAGTTATTAATCTAATTAAACTAGGGCTTCTTAAAAGATTTTCCAACTGCTTTAAAGAAATTCAGAATATATGATGACTTCAGGGAAGGAAACATTTATCACATTATATTTATGCTATAGGAACTTAAAAATATTCAAGATTTGAAGTGGGTTCCTTATATGGCTCAGATACTATATAACATCATGGAAAACATCCTGAATTCTTCAAAGACCAAGGTTTCGGTCCCAAGCCAGTCACTATGTCTATGCCCCTCAGCTTCTTCATCTGTGAAATGGAAATGATAATACTTGCAACATCTAACTTATAGGCTTGCTTTGAGCAAAGTGCCAAAAAGCATGAGGTGAACAAATGTACTTTTATATGAAAACTATCAACTCTATGCTACTCACTCTTTCAGGTCTGCTCTCTCGGCCTGGTGGTTTCAGAATATCATCGACATTCTTAGATTCAGGTTTCTTTTCTACACGAGGGGCTGGTGGTGGCTGGTGACTTAGTGATGGTGTAGACATAGGCATCCGTTCCTCAGGATAAGTCCTTCGGTCTCCTAGAATTACAGCAGTCGAATTTTTTTTTTTATTTTTTTTTTACTTAATTATTTTTTACTTAAAAAACAAATTTAACTCCCCCTAGTCATCAAAAGATAACTTAATTTAAACCAACCCTAAAGACTCAGAGACTATATTAAAGATTTGTTAAATTTAATTCTTATACAAATTTAAGTTAATATAAATATAATAGAATGAGGGAAATGGGCAGCTTTAATTATATCCCCAGGAATCTGGATGCCTGTCTACTCAATTTACACCGGTTCATAGTAAATACTACATTTTTTTTTAAAGGAAATGAAATTCAAAGGGAAATATTATGTATTCTCATAGTTTGATCCAAAACTTCTGCTCTGCAGTTTTAAGAGTAAAAATCTCTTTTCCTTAATAAGACAATCAACTTAGCATAATTTGGAGATGTTGGATTTTTAGCACTTCCAAGAAAAAAGGAAAAATCTATTACCCTACAATGACAACTATTGTGCCCTGTCCTGACACATAATGATCTCATTATTGTTTTCTATATATTAAAAAATTCAAGATCATAATCAACAAGCATTTACTAAACACTACCTATGTGTAAGACATGACTAAAAGTTAAGAATACAAACAAAAAAGCAAAAACAGCCCTTAAGGAGCTTACATTCTAATGGAAGAGACAACCCATTCCTAAATGAGCACATAACAAGGTTTAGCAGGGAAGACACTACCATCTGGGGAGACCAGGAAAGGTTCCTTGCAGAAAGGTGTGTCTGAGCTGTCTTGAAGGAAGCCAGGAGCTCCAAGAGGTAGAGGTAAGAAGAGAAAGAACTCCAGATAAAGGGGACTGCCAGTACATAGGCAGTGAGATGGAAGTTGGAGTTTATGTATGAGGTGTTTATGTATGTGCATGTAGGTCAGTATGGCTGGGCCACAGAATGTGTGCAGATGTAATGTGTAAGAGGAATGGAAGGAAAAGAAAAGGCCAGGTTGTGTTTTAAATGCCAGCATGAAGACTTTATGTTTAATGAAGCCACTGGAACTTATTGAGGAGAGGAATGTCAGACCTATGCCTTAGGAAGGTCACTTTGGTAGCTGTGTGGAACAGAAACTGGAATATCAAGAAACCTGTTAGGAGGCTCCTGCAATGGTCCAGGCAAGAAGTCTGCAGTAGAGGGTCTAAAGTAGTTGCGCAGTTATGTGGCCACAGAGAAGGGGATATACTTGAGAGATGTTGTAGAAACAGAAACAAGCTAGGGTGGCTGACTGGATTCATGGGGTAAGAAAAGAGAGGAAGAAATTAAAGATAACCCCTAAGGCTGTAAACCTGAATGAGTAGAAGGATGATGAATATCCTTGACAGTAATAGGATAATTTTAGAAGGAAAGGGTTTAGGAAGGAAAGATAAAGAGTCTGTTTTGGATATACTGAATTTGAGATCTTAGAATCAGGGGATCACAGATTTAGAGCTAAAAGGGACCCCAGAGGTCATATAGTACAATCCCTTCATTTACAGAGGAAGAAACTAGGGTCCAATGACACAGTTTCTTGATCTGGAAGTCGATCTCAACAGAGAAACTACGGCTGATCTACAGCTCTGGGAGAAATTGCATAGAGATGATAACTGAATCCAAGGGAGTAGATGAAATCTAGTGAGAATACAGAAACAAAAAAGAAGAGGGCTCAAGACAGAGCCTTGGAGCAAGACATAAATAATGATCTGGCAAAGCATTATCATGACAACTTAGAGAGGAGAGTATCCAGGAGAAGAGATTAATTAATAGTGTCAAATGCTGCAGAAAAGTCCAGAAGGATAAGAAATAAGAATAGACAATTAGATTTAGCAACTGGAAGATCTCTGGTAACATTGGAGAGACCAGTTTCAGTTGAATGAAAAGAAACATATGTGAATAAACTTTGTTCTTAGAACTTAATGTATAGTGACAATGAAAAAGCTCGCTCGATGGTAACATTCTTAATTTCCTAGTATTTACTGAGGCATTTCTTTACCTCCAAACATAGAAGGTCCATGGTCATAAGCTGGCCTGTCAGTTTTCCGTTCATATGAAGGCCTATCAAATCCGCCACGTCTGGATGAGGAGTGCTCTTTTTTATCACGATAAGATTGTGTCCTAGGTGTGATTGGGGGTGCCCTGATTTAAAAAAAAAAAAAAAAAAAGGACAATTAGTGGCACTCTGGCTTGTGAAATAACCATAACTCTAACTCTTATTATGGATGCCTTACATGTCAAACACTCAAAGTCTTTATAGTGCTTTACTACACAGATCAGCTTTATACATGCATTCAAAAAAAGGTTAAAAGTTGCAAAAGTCATCTGCCTATTTTAAGGGTGCACTGGACTCACCTTTTTCACAAGGTCACCTCCTCTCTCTTCCAACAACTTTTACTTCCTCCTGACTTATTATTCCAGAGAACTCCAGAGAACATAAATACTTGCTTAACAAAAATGCATTCAGTCCTTTTCCCACCCAAATTAATGTATATAAGAATCTAAATATGCAGTTAATTAAGTTTCTGTAAAGCCTGATTGACTAATTAATGGTGGACCCTGGGTTTATCTGCATGGCTGGGTAATTTATCTGGATAACCTGCATGGCCAACACAGCCATGTAATTTGTATAAAGAGAATTTTCTGTAGCATACCGGTCTTCCCGAGGACGGCGATCTCTGTCAAATCTATCACGATCATATTCAATAATAGCACGATCACGGTCTCGGTCCCTGTGTGTTTCTCGATCTCTTTTAAAATCTCTATGATCTACCATGACATTGCTCTGACGATCAAAATAAGGTTCACGATCCCTATCTCTATCATAGCGGTCTCGTTGGCCTGGGTGCTCTGGAAAAACAAATAATGTGAAATAAACAAAATAGCCTCAAACCTAAAGTAAAGGTTAAAGATGAAGTTAGTCTACAGATTGATGTAATCAACTAAAATGTGAACTTCTTTTATATATCACAAAGGTAGGTGTCAGAAAAGCAATTGTTGGGGGCAGCTAGGTGGCACAGTGGATAGAGCTCCAGCCTTGGAGTCAGGAGGACCTGAATTCAAATTTGACCTCAGAAACTTGACACTTACTAGCTGTGTGACCCTGGGCAAGTCACTTAACCCCAGTGCCTCACAAAAAAAAAAAAAAAAGCAATTGTTACCTAACTCAAAAGGAAACACACAATATTCACATCCTAAAAGGTTTTAAAGGCTTCATTTCAGGGCATTTCTTACCTGTCTCAAAAGCTGATCTTTCAGGTAGGGGGTCAGGACGCAGAGTTATTCTCTCTCCATAAGGTATTTGTTCAACTTTATTGGTGGATATGTCTGGTAAACAAGATCAAGAATAAAAATACTTAGTGTGACACTTAAGGTAGATAAGTAACCATTGTAAGATTTAGGTGCAATGAACTTTTTGGATGGGTTTAACACACTGACTTGTGTGTGTAACCTTAAGAAAGACTTCTGGGTGCATATTTTATAACTATAGCAAAAGGGAAAGAGTAGAAGTTTGATAGAGACTTCTTTACTGATATGTTACTTCAGACACACAAACAGTCCTACCACACATAGGATCTCTTCAACAAGAACTCCTGGGTTGGATACCAAATCCAGAACATGGGAAACCTGCATTGCAAGAGCTAAAGCCTTTGGGGAAAATTATTTTTTCCAGGAAAAAAAAAAAGTTTCTTGGTTGTTACATGTCAAATATATGGCCAATTAGCTTCACTTCTTAAAAGATGGGATTCAGAAATGAATTCATCCACAAAAAGTTATACATTAACATCAACTTTTGAAAATGACATTCAAGTCTGTATTATACTATATTTCAATTATCTGGATAGCTAGAATAGTATTATGGGCACTGAAACAACAAGACTAAATTATGCTTAGTAACGTAAATTTGAGGAAAGAAGAATGAAGGAAATGAGACATAAAAAGAGAAGCAGAAAGTAACATAGGAAAGATTGGCACAAAGGGAGCCTGATAACATCTTTGTCACTAATTCCTATTCCAGCGCCTCAAGGTGGCATGAAGCAGACCTGGGACTCTTCACAGCTGTATCAATGGGAGGCAAGCTCTGGAAGGCTGTACCATGGTAGAAAGGTTTCCAGTATGGTTCTAGCTCAACAGCCTATGTCTGCTTTCCAAGGACCAGTCTAAGTATAAAGAGAATCATCACTAGCAGGTGGGCTACTTGCTGATTTCCTTGGCCATGGCAAAATAAAATTAGTACTTATAAACCTAACATACAATGTTCTCATTCTCATTCTCTCTCTCCTTCTCTCTCTCTCTCTCACCTTACAAAAGATTGTGACTTGTCCTGGACTGCTGCCAAATCTAGAATATAACAAATCTGGTTTGCAAAAGCCTAATGCCTCTGGTGGAAATTTTTTCTACCAATATTTTAGTTTCATGATTCTTATATAAATAAGAGGTAGCTGGTTGGTGTCATGGATGGAGCACTAGACTTGGAGTCAGGAAGACCAGAGTACAAATCCAGCCTCAAACACTAAATAGCTGTGTGACTTGAGCTGGTCATTTCACCTCTTTCAGACTCAATTTCCTTATTTGCAAAATGAGAATAGCAGCACCTACTTTATTAGGGTAGTTGTGAGGATTAAATAACATACGTAAAAACTATTATTTTTTTCTAATGATTTGATATATTGTTTTTAGATTGCTTTTATTCCCCCTGCCTGAGAGTTACCCATTATAATGAAGTTTTGGTTTTGCTTTTTTTTAAAGAGGAAGATAAAAAATATTCAGCAAAAATGTTCAACATATAAAAAAAAAATCCTGATATTACATGCTATACTGCATACTCATGGCCTTCAGCCCACTCCCATTACCTACATAAGAGTCAAGGGAGGTACTACCTCATAGTTATTGTTGTTATTAGTATTAGTAATCAAGCATATCTGCCAGCTACCTAGGTGCCTTCTTGTATTTAAATACTTTGTATATATTTTCTTTACATGTGTTCTCCATATACTTGTTATGCATATTCTCTATATACTTATAATACATGTACTTGTCTTCCCCATTAGAATGTAAAAGCTCCTTTTGGAATATGGATAGTTTCATTCTTTGTACTGATATCTCCAGCACACAGCACAGCCCCTGGCATGTAGTAGGTACTTATTTTAATTAATAAGTGTTTCTTAATTCATTGGATCTTTTCAATAGATATGCCAACCGAACTCATGAATACTTATTTGCTTTGACAAATACGTGTACATTGTCACTCTATTGAGCAAGAGGGATAGTGACAAAGTTACACAAATTAATAACAGTAAGAATGGGAATATTTTATCTGTCAGATTTACGAAGAAGGGAAGAATTTATGACCAAATAAGAGACAGAGAGCATTACGGGATGTAAAACCGATAATTTTGATTACATCAAATTAAAAAGATTTTGCACAAACAAAACCAATGTAGCCAAGATTAGAAGGCAGGAAACTGAGGAAAAATTTTTATAGCAAGTTTCTCTGATAAAGCCTTTATTTCTCAAATATATAGAGAAGTGAGTCATATTTATATGAATATGAGTCATTCCCCAATTGATAAATGGTCAAAGAATATGAAAAGGCAGTTTTCATAAGAAGAAATTAAAGCTATCCATAGTAATATGAGGGGATGCCATCAAATGCAGAATGGTTAAACAAGTTGTGGTATATAATTGTGATGGAATACTACTGTACTTTAAGATATGATGAACAGGATGCTTTCAGAAAAACCTGGGAAGATTTACATGAACTGATGCAGAATGAAATGATCAGAACCAGGAAAACATCGTACACAGCAACAATATTGTACGATGACCAACTGTGAATGACTCAGCTATTCTTAGCAATATAATGATCCAAGACAATTCTGAAATATTTAACAGGAAAAATGCTATCCACCTCCAGAGAAAGAACTCATTGAATCTGAATGCAGATTGTAGCATACATTTTTTACTTTCTTTATTATTCTTGGGGTTTTTTGTCTATATTTTCTTTTGCAACACACCTAATATGGAAATGTTTTATGTGACTGCACACGTATAATCTATATTAAATCACTTGCCTTCTCACCGAGGGGGGAAGAGAAGAATGGAGGAAGAGAATTTGGAACTCAAAATTTTAAAAAACAAATGTTAAAAAATGTTGTTTACGTGTAATTGAGGAAAAAAATTAAATGTTAAAAAAAAAACCCAGTAAGAATAGGAATCAAATATCTGAATTACCAAACTGTCCTCAAGTGTTTGGTTTCACAACTTAACACAAGGAAACAGCTAAATATACTGCAACAACAAGATTAGGTTATAGAAGAAGCTGTATGGAACATACATCACACAGGGCAAATCTTTCTTGAAATTTCTCATTATCTAATACTAGGGATACACGTCAATCATTGTTACTTACCTCGACCATGGCCGTAATCCACTGTCTGCTGCACTGGAGGTTTAGACATTGACGGCATAACCACAGGAATTGGGCTTGGAGGGGGAATAGAAGGATGAATTGGTGGTGCTTTCATTGCAACAGATGGTGGGCCTGTTTCTGAGGTATATTCTGAATTAAGTCCTTTATCTTCATTTGTATCCCAGAGTCCATGGAATGAATCTTCATCCCAACGTTCTTGTTCCATAGCAGCAGGCTGTGGCTTTACCACAGGAGGGGGTGGTGGAATTGGGACAGGTGGCCTCGTTATAGGAATAGATGGTCTTGCTGATGGAGCAGACTGTCTCATCCCTGGAAGGGGTGGTTTACCCATAGGAGGAGGTGGCCTATAGGATCCTGGAGGCTTTACAAAGAATAAAAGATTTACTAAGTATACAAACTGTTCCCATAATTAAAGACAATTGGGTTGTTATCAACAGTACATGTGTCTGTGATGGGTAGTCCTAGCCCTGTTATAAATGTATGGCATGGGCCATAAAACAAAGCAAATGCCTCTGCACCCATTGCTTTCCTTCTAATGCTTATTTTTCCAATTTTTCCAAGACCATGGCAGCTTTAAGTTTTGTCATAAGATCTATCAAGAACATATGCTGGTTGGGGCAGCGAGGTGGTGCAGTAGACAGAGCACCAGACCTGAAGTCAGGAGGACCTGAGTTCAAATCTGGCCTCAGACAAAAGACACTTGACATTTACTAGCTGTGTGACCCTGGGCAAGTCACTTAATACCAGCTGCCTTAAAAAAATAAAAAAAAGAATATATGCTGGTAAACACAGACCATATCTTATCTGAACTTTCTATCTTTTTGCATACTATGCCCCAAGTCTTTACAAAGTACTCTGCACAGAATACGTGGAGTTTATTGTCAGAATGTGCAATGCTGCTTCACTAAGCCATCGAAAATTACTATGATATCATGAGCTTCTGTTATGCTTTCATTTCTACTGAATAAGGAGATCAAGGAATGAAAGAAAACAGAAAAGATTTCACCTATTTCATGGTTTTTGCCTCTTTTTTTGCTAAGCCTACACAACCCTGAAAATACATCTTATTTCTTACCTGAAAGATCCCGGGTGGCCGTGAAGATGCGGCCTGAAGTCTTGGCGGCTCAGGGGGCGGCAACGGAAGGTCAGGTGCCTGTGGCTCAGCAGCAAAATCTTTGAGTTTCTGAAGCTGCTCTTTCTGTTCTCTGCATGTACATTGTCAGAAATGGTCATGCCCTGTCTTATTCATTTTGTAAAGTACTTATGACTGATGCTCAAGGAGAAAACTTACAGCATTCCTCATACTCCCCACATGGAAAAAAAAATCAGAACACCCCAACACAAAAGGACTTCACAGATGGTGATCTTTGCCTCAAGGTAGGTCAGAAGCTAAACCAAAGGCTATTTTCTTTTTAAGGCACTATTAAAACAGAGATTTTACAATCTTTATATGCATTTCAGTGTTTTATCATTTGATAATCAAGTATTATCTTTCTGGTTCTGAGCCTTCATGTTCTAAGCCCATTTCTTCTTGTTTATCTTTGGACCCAAATATTAAACATGAATTGGTTTTATCCCATAAAAAAAGCATTTTATATAGTTAAAGATAGAAATTCGTGCTTCAACTGATATATCCTTAGCTTTCTCTTCTCTGGTCAAACCAATCATGTTCCTTTAACCTTTCCTCACAGAAGCCTTTTCCTATCCATTTGATTTTCTTTGGCCCCACTCTAGTTTCTCTAAATACTTTTTAAAATATAGTACCCCCAAACTGGACATAATAACAAGGGACTAGCTCACAATACAGTGGAAAGACTTTTGGGCCATACTTCTAAGCCATACTTCTTTAAATTAATGTCAGTGTCATGCTGACTTCTCACAACAGCAGTACAATGTTTCCTTGTATTATTCTTACATATTATGATTATTTCTTATACTGTATTTCCATGTTTGGATGAGATAAAATAACTAATTACAAGGAGTTGAGATGAAATTAGCAGATAAATTCACTTTATATCCAGTATTTCTATACTAAAATCAGAGAAAAATAATTTTCAGGCACCTCAAAGGTAACATTATTTTTCAGAGAAGGATAAACAACCCAGTTTATATATTTAGTGAGGGCTGAAAACTATTTCATTAAAAAATGAAACTTAGAACAGCAATTCCCCAAAAGCTAAGTGGTCAAATGATATAAACGAGTAATTCTCAAAAGAAGAGTTGTGAACTATTAGTAAGAATGATCCAAGTCATTAAAAGAAATGTAAATCAAAACACTGAGGTTTCACCTCACACTTTGCAAATTTGCAAAGACGACAAAAGATGGGAATAGCATTGGAGGGGTTTCAGGAAAACAGATACACTGGTACATTGTTGGTGGAACTGTGAATCAGTATATTCCATTTTAGAAAGCAATTCAGAATTATGCAAACAAAGTGACTAAAACATCCCTAACTTTGACCCAGACATTCCATTGCTAGGCTTATACCCTAAGTGGGCCAGTGAAAAGTCGTCATGTACAGCCAAAATTGTATATAGCAGCTTTTTTTGTGATAACAAAAAACTGGCAACCAAGTAGGTGTCCATCAATTGGGGAATAGCTAAAAAAACTGCAACATGCAAATGAAATGGAATATTTCTGTTCTGTAAGAAATGACAAATATGATGAACACAGAGAAGCACAGAAAGATCTACATGAACTGAGGTAGGATGAAGTTAACAGAGGCAAGAAAACAAAGTACACAATAATTAAAACAATGGAAACAGAAAGAATAACCACCACAAAAAAAATCAAAAGTGAATCATGCAAAATTACAAAGAACAAATTATGTTTCCAAAGAAAAGATATAAAAGGACACCTTTTTACCCTACTCTATTGCAGAAGTGGGAGGTCCACCAGTGTGACAGATTACATATATTTTTGGATTTTTGCAATGTACTGATAAGTTTTGTTAAATTTTCTTCCCTCTTCTTTTTCTTTTTTTTTTTTTGTCCTTAAAATATTGTTAGATGAGGTGGCTCTCAAGGAAGGGAAGTGATACTGGGGAAAATTTTTAATAGTGATTTAACAAAGACAAAAAAAAAACCACTTATTTCTAAAAAATGAAACTTGGTCAGGGTTAAAAAGAGAGCACAGCAAATAAGGATATATTATCAGTATCTGATAGCACACATCTCCTTTCCCCTCTACTTTCCAGGAGTTCTGAAGGAAAAAGAACCAGGCCTTTCTCCTACAAAAATAAGCTTTCTAGAGCCTATAATGTTACTTTCTCAGACTCATGATGTCTATAACAGATTTCTCTCGCCAATAATTCTAGATGGGCAATCAGGCTCTTCATTTTTCCCTGCTGTGGCTTTCTATTATCACACCAATATTATTCTCTTGTCCTAGAACTTCAGCTATATCTTTAACTGGCATAATCTCTAACTGGTAGCCTGGACTAGCAATATCCAGGGAATGTTGTAAGCTCCTTGAGGGCAGACACTGTCTTTCTTTTCATTAATTATATCCCCAGCACTTAGCACATGTGCTTGGCACATAGTAGGTCCTTAATAAATGTTTACTGGGTTACTGGATTGGATGTTGTATAAAGGGCTATCTCAGAATCTAATCAAAAGTTTCTGAAGAATTACTAAAGACTAGATGAGCTGCCATGGACTTCTAAATTCCTACTCCATAACAGGACAAATGTTTTCATGGTGTAAATTATAGTACATATACTGGACTGGGAGTCAAAAAATGTGGGTTCTATTCCCTATTCCACTGTAGAAAATATTTCATTACATAAAAACGATAATAACCTCAAATTAAGGTAGCCACTTCCAGTTATAGTTAAGGTTGCAATCTCCACAAGAAGGAAATCAAAGAATCCTGGGGATTTAACTATGAGAAACTTAAGACTGATAGAGCATTTCAAAATTATGACAGAGATTCTCTCATATCCAATATAAAAGAAATGACCCTTTGAAAGCAGAGAATAAATTATTCATGAGGAAAAATAAAAAGGCAATGATATCATGACTCAAAGAAATATGAGCACTTAGTAAAATACACAAAAATACAGCCATTCTGCTGGCAAGAGATCTATAAAAACCAAATATCAATTATCAATTTTTGTATTTTAGGGTATAAACTTATAACTCACATGGATCAGTTCAATTCAAAGGCTCGTGAAAGACACTATGCTAAGTGTTAGGGATACAAAGATGAAAAATGACAGTCCTCACCCCTTAGCGTATAATATTGTTGGGAGAAGGGGGGGAAGGGAGGAGGAGCACAAAAAATTGCCTCTGACAAATTAGAACATGAAAAATGCATTGATGGCATAAAAAACCAATATTTTAGAGTACAAAGAATGGTATGCACAAATGCATTGTCACATTAACATTCCTTTCTTGTCCTAGAGCTTGACGGCAAGAAAGGGCAAGTAGTCCAGACTGGCCAAAAAAATATGTATTTTTGGTAAATAGTCAACTAAAAAAACCATTAAAGACTTTTAGAGCAAATGAGTGACATGGTCGTCATGATCTGTACCTTAGAAAAATTACTTTGGCAACAATGAGATCAACAGACTAGAAGGCAGAGATTCAGAAGCAGAGATACAAGTTAGAAGACTATTACAACAGTCTAGGCAAGAGGTAAAGAGGCCTAAACTAAGGGTGGTAGCCATAGAAACGGAGGAGAGGTACAAGAGAGACTGTGATCAGATGTAAATAGATAACCACTAAACTCACTTTCTGCTCAAATGCCTGTAGTCCTATGAAAACATCATCTCATCCCCAATAAAGTCCCACCAAACAACTAACTGGATATATACATCATAGAAAGAATTTTCATCTTCCATAAAAATTCAAGGACCAAATCCCAAATTAAAACTATTTGAAAAAAACTAAGAAGGTAATTCCAACAAAGTGTATCAGACCACTCTGAAGAACAGTTTAAATAATTTCTTTGACTCAAGAAATTATCTTCAGTAGTTAACTTACCGTAGCATTTTCAATTCCTGTGCAGCTTTCAAAATTATTTCATGCTGCCTTTGACTAAGGACCATTACCCCTCCAATAGACTGATCAGAGTCTAAGTTTCCTTCTGCTCCCAACATTTCAGAAGAATGGTGTGATGGAGGAAGAGGTGGCATATGATCCCCCATAGGGGAATGTCTGTCTACATCAGATGGGTACCATCTATCTGACAATCGTTCTCTCTCCCAGTCCATCCGCTCAGGAAGGTAATCACGTTTTTCCCGCCATGTTTCTCCTCTCTCAGGATATTCTCGAATTCTTAATTCCCCCCTGTCACGAAGGTCCCGATCATATATGTGATCTCTATCTCTTTCATCTCTCCATCTGTCATCACGATATCTATCCAAAGGTGGAAGAGGAGGCAGAGGTGGCAAAGGAGGAAGGGGGGGAATATCACGTTCGTGAAATTGTGATTCTTGGTCATCCATTGGTCTCATGTAATCTCTGTCCCACTCTCTATCCAGTTCTCGATCATACATATCCATAGGCCTTCCCATCCGGTCCCGGTCCCTGTCCCGTTCCCTGTCCATGTCCCTGTCCATATCCCTAAAGTCCCGATCCATATCCCGATCTCTATCCCAATCATCCCACCAAGGTCCTCGCCGATCGACATCATGGGATCGAGAAGGCGGCAATGAAAATCTGTCCTCTCTGTTGTATGGATCTACATCATCTTGAAAATCTGGTTCACATTCTCTCCAGTATCTTTCCCTGTCCCAATCATCAAGTCTTTCCCTTTCCAAAGGAGGGACATTTCTACCATCTAATGAAAAGTCTTCATGCCCTCTATCCTCTCCATGATTCCAGGGAGCCCTAGACGTATCATCTCGATGATAAGGGGGCATTTTTTCCCCATCTCCCATCCTAATTGATTTATCTACATTGCCAGGTTCTATTCTGGGTATACCTTTATCCCGACCAAATTCTGGTCTGCCCAGACCCCTTTCCCGACTTCCAGGCTGCCGAGGTGGTCCCCTCTCTCTACTCCCAGCCCTGTGGAGTGGAGGTCCTCTCTCCCGGCTCCCAGCCCTTCTAGGAGGGCCTCTCTCTTGACTGTTGGCCCTCCGGGGAGGTCCCCTTTCCCGGCTGCCAGCTCTCCCCCTATCCTGAATATCTGTCTGACCACCTGGAATTTTCTCCCTACCACTTCCCAGCCTCCCTAACCCTCTATCTCGGCTGCCTGATCGTCTTCCCATCACCCTCTCTCGACTGCCTTCTTGCCTGACCATCTTCTCTCGATTCTCTTCCCTTCTGCCTATCACTTTCTCTCTAATGTCATCTGGTTTGCCCATTCCAAGGCCCTGATTGATTATTTGTCCTCTCCCTCTGTTAGTCAGGCCCTTATCACGCATGTCTTCAATTCTTACTTGTCCCCTGCCTCTGTAAGAGGAACTGCTACCTCTATTGCCTTCTGGTCTATGATCTCTGTTATCTAGCCTAGGCAAACCTTTGTCCTGGTTATTTTCTAATTGGGGGATACCAACACCGACAGATTTCAAATCATTATTTGCAGTTAATGATGGTATAGGTGGTGGTCCTCCCCCATCCATTCCTCCTGTTCGTGAGGGAAAAGTTGATTGAATTGATGAAGATTTGTTTGCAAAGGGTTTCTGGCATGCAGTTAACGGCTGACCAGTTTTGTCTATTTGTTTCTCCATATTTTGAGAATTCTGGCTCCAGTTTGAAGGATCGTTAGGTCCTGCTTGGACTTCAGTTTGGGGAACATCACGTTGAGTATCTTTTAGTTTCTCACTGGACTGAAATGACTTAGAATCCTTTGTATCTGCAACAAGAGAAAATGGAGGTGACATTCTGTTGTTCTTTTGTTGGCCACTGCTGGGGTCCGTTAAAGGTTCCTTGTTTCCTAGATGAGATTCTGCTTGTGATTTGGGTGGATGTTGCTGTTGTTGCTGCCCATAAGGTGGCTTAGAACTTCTCCACTGTGGTCCACTCTGTCGAGGGCCTTGAGAAGTATTTGGAGAAATATAAAACTGTGATGCTGGCCCCCGGGGAATTGTCCCCCATTTGCTTTTAGAGGCACCCTCTGAGTGGTGTCCTTCATATTTGGGTCTTGTCCCATCTGAACGATGTCCTTCAAAACGAGGTCCTTTGGGTCTCGGTCCATCACATCTTGCCCCTGGTGCATCAAATCTTCCTCGAGGACCATCAAACCTATAAACAAAGTAAGATACATTTTAAAAGGAACCTAAATCAGTGTGGTAGAAAAAAAAATCCTACGTTTAAGACATTTATCTTCTAAGTGTTTTAAGACCTTAAATGTTTTTTGTATTAATAGTTTCAATGAAGCTAATGCACTAACTTCTATCTTGGAACCAGTGCTCTAGAGCAAAGGTTGGCAAACTATAGTCCATAGGCAACTCTAGAACAATAATATTAAATAGGTCTTAGGACAGATTTTTAAAATCCTGTCACTATCGCCCAATTTTCTAGGAAATAAATATCATTATGCATATAAATAATAACTAAACAATATAGAAATTTATGGTTTACAAAGCATGCTAATAACTAAAAAGGAACAGTTTAGAGAACAGAATTTATATACAATGACAGCAAAGTCTTTTCATTTTAGAAGTAACAATCTCTAAAGCCACTATGCCACTATCTTTAGCAATAGCTCTTAAGTTGAAATGAAACAAATGAGAACTAAAAGTTGCATGATTTTTCATACTTTTAGTAATATGATACATTATTAGTTCTTAAAAATAAAAATGTCAATAGTTTATTTAGCATTAAGGTTTTATTTGGGATGTTATTTCAAAGAAAAGGTTTAGGAGATAGTTTTGGAGTCATATTTTATATATGTAGTTTAGAACTTTCAGAAAAAGGGACAAGGAATAGGATAGATAATATTTCAGTTGGTTATATTACACTGAAAGGAAAGAAAACGTTACTTTGTTTCAGGATTTATAACAGATTGGCTCTCTCTGAAGCAAAATCTTTTTGGTGAAACTTCAAGCATGTTTATCCCAAGTATAAGAAATGGTCAGGATCAGGGTCAGAATTTTACAAAGGTGGGATCTGGCAGGGAGTCCTTATGATAAGAAAAAAGCAATTCAAATACAATTTAATATCCATGAGAGATAACGTGGTGGAATGGTAAAAGAAGAATTCAGAGAAGCGGGTTGTTGTCACGGCACTCCACCTATTATCATTAAGTTGAAAGAACTAAGGCAAGTCTTTTCAGAGGGACTGTACAATTAGATGATCTCCAGGGCCGTGGCCACATCTAAAATGCTATGAGTGTATAGAAGCTAAAATACAACTGATATGACCCTGGATTAGTGATGAAGACACTTAAGAGGCGTAAATCGAGAGTTTTTTAATCATAGAAACTATGAGTATGATTGGATATAAAACGTACATTGTGCTTCAAATAATTATCTTGTTTAAGAGTTGTACTTTAAACAGACCTTGAATGAAAGTAATTAAAGCTTCTAGTTTGGAGAACAGAGAACAAAAACTTTGTTTTCGTATCCTATTAAAATCAGGCTTAGGACTAATTTTGGTCCTGGAAAAGAGACAATCAAAACCCTTTCCCAAAGGTGCTGGTCACATATACAGAATGCTATATACACTCTCAGATAAAGTCTGTTTCAATTGATTCTATTACTAGAAAAGGTTTAGTCGGGGGAAAGCAATATAGTTCAGGAAATGGCAACATGGTAAAAGACAAAAATAATAAAAGGTAAAATAAAAAAAGTGTTTTATTTATGAATATTTATTCCAAATCAAAAGGTGGTTTTCCCCTTTTCTAAATGAAAACTATGGTTTCAAAAGAAGAAGACATGTTTTCCTGACTGATGAAGCAGAACAAGTTCACCAAGTCAAAGTTCAGCCCTTGTCATTGTTGTGGGTCAGGAGAAACCGGGCAAGTCAACAATTGATTTTCTAGCTGTGTGTTTGAAACTGAAAAGTGATAACGGAATATGAATATTGTTACCCACAGAAGTTGTGGCTGTGATTAGTGTTGTGATTCCTAAAGGAATGAAAACCAGCTGCCACCCTGCAGTTGTTTATGGCCTTATAGAGAGTGCCCTAGAGTCCTGAAGTTAAGTAACTTGCTCAGGGTCACAGAGGCAGTACAGAGGTGTCCTGAGGTAGAACCTGAACCCAGAGTGTCCTGACACCAAGACAGGCTCTCTGTCAATTATATCATTCTGCCTGCCATGGAATAGCCTACCTGGAGGATAGATAGCAAACTTACAGTGATTTTAACATCTCAGGGGAGGGTGAGGACTCATACATTTCATAAGCTTTATATTTAAGCAATAATATTGATAGTTAAAAACTGGTAATTTTCTTTTTATCAATTAATTTTTATTTAAGACCAGAAAGTCGGATCTCTAGAGTTGTAACGGACCTCAGAAACCATGCAGTACAACCCCTTCATTTCATAAATGAGAAAACTGAGGCCAAGGAATTTTAAGTGACTTCTCCAAGGTCATTCAGATATTAAATGGCAAGAGGCAGAATGATATGGCAGAGAGAATGGGATACTTAACTTGGAGTTAGGAAGTCCTGAGTTGAAGTTCCTCTTGGGCACTGCTAGCTATAAGACCCAGGGTGAATAACTTAATCTCTCTCTATGTCAGTTTCCTCATCTGTAAACATCTCTTCAGTCCATTCTGGCTCTGAACTCAGGTTCTCTAACTTAAGAGCTACTGAGGGTTCTTTCCACTTTAACTTATTAGGTCACATTCATTTCTTAATAGATCACTTCCTCCACCCCAAACATTCCTTGTAACAAGGATTTTAAAGTTTAAAAAAGCAGTTCAGCAAAATTAAGCAAAAGAGCAATTAAGTGACAGTATATGCAATACTCCACACCCACAGTCTTGCTCTTCTGCAATGAAGGAAGGCAAGTGTACCAATCAACTCTTCTTTGTGATGAACCTTGGTCATTTGAATCATACAACATTCATTTTCCACCTATGTTACTGTAAGCAATATTATATTGTTTCCTGGTTCTTTTTACTGAACTCTGTGTCAGTTCAGAAGTCTACCCATGTTTCTCTGAATTCTTCACATTGACTGTTTCTATAATACTTACTATTCCTTTACATTTAGGGGTTCTTAACTTGTGATCCATGAACTTGGTTTTTTTACAAATATGTTGATAATTATATTTCAAAATAATTAGTTTCCTTTGTAATTCTATATATTTTTCATTGACACAAAAAAAATTAAGAAACTCCTCCTTTACATTCATGTACCATAATTTGTTTAGCTATTCCTCAATCAACGAGCACTTTTGTTTCTAGTTCGACCACAAAAAGTTCTGCTAAAAACTTCAGTTTTTTGGTATACGTGAGACCTTTACATTTTTACTATCTGTGGAATACAAGCCTGGCAGTGGGATCTCTAGCTCAAAAGGCAAAGACATTTTAAACACTTCTTTAGTGTAATCTGAAATTATTTCCAAAACTGGAAATTGTTTGACTAATTCACAGCTTATTAACAGAGTAATAATATTCCTGCTCTCCCATAGCCCCTCCAGCAATGTCTTTCTATCTTTTGTCATCTTTGCCAATTTGTTGAATGTGAATCGAAAAATCAGATTTTTGTATTAATTTTTGCATTAATTCTGCATTTGTGTTAATTTCCCATTCAGTGATTTAGAATCATCTTTCATATGGTTATTAAAGCTTTGCAATTCCTCTTTTAGAAATTGTTTGTTTATATCCTTTGACCACTTGTTCACTGGGGTATGGTCTTTATTTTTATCTGAACCATATGTTTTATTTCATTGATATGAATAACTCCCAGCGAATAAACTTCTCTATCAATGCAGGCCTACACCTTTACTATTAGAAAAGTTAGAAAGCTGCCTTACAGTATCAAGAGCAACCAGGTCGTGCAATAGATAGAGTCCAAGATCTGGAGTCAGGAAAAACTAAGTTCAAATCTGACATCAGACATGACTAGCCCTGTGACCCTGGGCAAATCACTTAAACCTGTATGCCTCAGTTCCCTCATACGTAAAATGGAGATGATAATAACAGTAGCACTTACCTCCCAGGGCTGTTGTGAGGATCAAATGAGATAATAATTGTAAAGTACCTGGCATGTAGCAAGTACTATACAAGTGTTAGCTAGTGTTATAAAAATGTCAGCTATTATTATATTATTAGAGTTGTATTAATTCTCTATATGTGGCAGCTAGGTAGCAAAGTGGATAGAGGAGTGCCAGGGCTGGACTCAGGAAGACCTAAGTCTACCTCAGTGTCTGACCTCTGACACTTACTAGCTGTGTGAACCTGAGCAAGTCACTTAACCCTGTTTGCCTTAGTTTCTCATCTGTAAAATGAGCTGGAGAAGGAATGGAAAACCACTCCAGTATCTTTGCCAAGAAAAGCCCAGATGGGTAATGAAGAGTCACACACGACTGAAATGACTCAACAACAACAATTTTCCACATATCTTGGGTATCAGATCCATATCAAAGATATGTGAAGCAAAAAATTTTCCCCAACTGATGGGAAAATACTTTGATCCATCATTTATAGCTCTATGTTAAATAACAGTTCCCTTCTCAACCCATATGTAGTAACAGGATTCATACAAAAATTTTTCCAATTTTATGTAATTCAATTATATAATTTTTTTTCCTTTTGTTATCTCTTTTATATTTCATTTGGTTAATAATTCTTCCCTTAACCATAGTTCTGAAATGTTTCGATGTTATTTTAAACTAATTTCTGTCAAACTATTTTCCACTTTTCACAGTAGCTGCCAAATACTGAGTTCTTTCCCAAGTATTTAATATGCGCAGGTTTATTTGATGCCTGGTTACTGAATTTGATGGTTTCTGTCCTTGCTTATCTAGCTAGTTCCACTGATCTACTTTCTTACTTTTTAACTAGTATCAAATAATTTTGATGATTGATAATTTATAATATAACCTGAACTCTGAAAGTACTATCACCCCAACTCCTTCCTTCCTACTTTTTCCTTTATTTTGCTTGAGATTTCTGACTTTTTGTTACTCCAAACGAATTAGATTGTTTAGCTCTATAACATATATCTCATCTACTTGACTGACATAACACTAAATTTATAATTCAGAAAGCACTGTCATTTTTATTATAGTGATGCAGTCCAAACAGGAGCAATGAATGTTCCTCCAATTTTTAGTCATTCTTTAGTTTTTTAAAGAGTATCTTGAAATCTTTGTATCAACTACCTCTGATAAGGTATGATACCCAAACTACATAGAGAAGACAAATGTAAGAGACCAAGAGCCATTTCCCAATGGATAGAGTAAAGCAGATGAACAAACAGTTTTCAAAAGAATTCCAACATTTGGGCAGGTAGGTGGCTTAGTGAATAGAGCACTGGCCTTGGGGTCAGGAGGACCCGAGTTCAAATCCGGCCTCAGACACATAAACACTCTCTAACTGTGTGACTCTGGGCAAGTCACTTAACTCCAACTGCCTCACTCAAAAAGAAAAAAAAAAGAATGCCAACATTCTTCACATATGACATAAAAACAAAAATCAATAAACACTTTAAAAAGTTGAGTTTTTCAGATTCCCCCCCCCCAAATAAGCATTTTGCAATTTTACTTATGTCTTCAGTGTGTGTTCACAGGTAAACTCCTAGACATTTTTATCTTTTATAGTTATTTTTGATGGCATTTCCCTTTCTATTATTTCCTCCTAGATTTTGTTACTAAAAAGAATTTGTCCTATTTGTCACAGACACATCAACGTTTTCTGTGAATTTATTTTGAAACTTCCTACTTTAATGAAACTACTGTCTCAAATAAATCATGCCTCCTCTGTGCAAACGTTCATGCATTTAATTTCTCTTTCCTCTTTGTTAGTCTTAACATTTCTATAAGTGCCTTCAAATAATAACACAAAAAGTGTTACTCATTGCTTTATTCTTGTATTGACTGGGGCAGCTTCTAATGTTTACTCACTGCAAATACAGCAAACTTTGAGTTTTAGATATGTACCCTTCTATGCCTACCCCTTTAAGGGTTTTATTATTACTATTTTGATATTATCATTTAAGGTTTTTTTTAATAATAAAGGTTGTACTTAATCAAAAACTTTTTTTGTATCTGTTGGTATAATTCATGTGGCTTTTGTTTTAAACATGATTATGTTGTTTACTTGATGTTCAACTATCATTGCATTATTGGCAAAGTCCAACTTGGTCACAGTGGAATTATTTTTTGCTATACTGTTCTATAATGTTCTTCTAGGATTTTATTTAAAATTTTAGCATAAATATTCATCGTTAATATTGGTCTATAGTTTTGTTTTTTTGCTTTATCCCTCACTTGGATATTAGGACTATATTTATGTCAAAAAAGGAGTCTGGTAGTGTTTTTTTCTCAATTTTTGGAAATAATTTATGTAGAATAAGTATTAGTTGCTCTTTAGACATATTACAGAATTCCCCTATAAATCTGGATGGAAGTTTTTTTTTCCTTTTAGTCAAATCAGTAATTTTCAAAGGCAAAAAACAACAACAACCCAACAGAAAGTACATATTATCACGATGTTAATGGAGTTTTTAATAACATTAGCCCCTTCACAAAGTGTAAACAGCAAAGAAGCATCAGACATACCTAGGACCTCCTCTTGGACCTTCCAAGTAAGCACTTCTGGGAGGATCTGGAAGCAGCCCACCTGATCTCACTGGTGTGTCTTTAATTGTGTTACCAGGCTGGTTTGAAGCAGGTGAAGATCCTGTAGTAGGAATTTTGGGTTCCATGTGTCCTTGTTCCGATGAGAAAGAACTGAATGGCAGAGGAGCTTTAGAGTTCACTTGTTCTGAAGAGCCCATGGATGATTTTATAGGAGGATGGTAAGGTGGAGGTGAACCAAAGGATATAGGAGTGGGAAGCAGTGCTGGTCTGGGTTTATCTGGAGGTTTTGAGCTTTGAGAACTTGCAGCTGGTGGAACTGATGTGTTAGTTAATTGAGGGGGTAACCCTTGTTGGAGAACTGCTGAAGTAAGATTTGGGGGAGGCATTCCTGGAGGGGGTGTTGCTGACGACAAAGGTGGGGGAGGCAATACGGGTGGAGCTGCTGTCGAGGAAAGGGCTGGCGGGGGAAGAACGGGTGGAGGCCCTGTTGAAGAGAGAGATGGTGGAGGAAGAACGGGTGGAGGTCCAGCTGAAGAGAGAGATGGTGGAGGAAGAACGGGTGGAGGTCCAGCTGAAGGCAGAGATGGAGGCACCCCAGGTGGGGGAACAGATGTTGGTAGAGGAGGCATCACTGGGGGGGGCATCACAGGTGGCGGCACTGTGGCAGGTAGAGCAGGGGGCATCACTGGTGGTGGTAATGATGCTGACAGAGACGGAGGCAATACAGGAGGGGGCATTGTTGGTATCGCTGGAGGCATTTGAGAGTATGGAACGAATGGAGGCGGTATTGTCACGCTTCCCATATACTGATTTTTCACATTTTGAAGTGTGTTCACTTTCTCCTGAAGGTTGGCCTGAGTAGCTTTTAAATGTCCCTGCCATGAGCTCCACTGCTTCTCATACTCTTGAAGCTGATCTTTGTGAGGGTAGGAATGGAGCTGATCCTGCCACTGCTGAAACTCTCGTTCCCATTCTTTGAAAAGATGTTGAAATTGCTGCTGCTGCATCTCATAGTGCCGCAACTGCATATCTACGGACATAGTCTATAAAATGAAGAGAGAAAAATAATTTTGCAATTTCGTAATACACGCGATTAAAACAGTTAAGACTTAGGGGCTTTGCTGTAATCAAGAGACTCTGAGTACATGGGAGAGAGAAAAACTATAGAAAAAACTTTAGAAAAGTATGCTTGTTAACTTAAATAATAATCATTTCTTTCCTTTGATAATTTATTTAACATGTCTTCCATTTACTATGCACTCAGGAAAACCAAATAAGTAGAAAATCATTAAAGGAAATATTTACTTCCTCAATGAAATGAACTTTGAATATACTGAAAATTGACTAAAAGAAGAAAACATTTATCTCCTTTTATGGTGCTTTTGTGTAGGATTCCAGAGAAAACACAGTAAAGTTGGATTTAGGTCAATTTCCTAAGGTAATTCTAACAGCTGGATACCACTATCTGACACCCTGAGTCTGGTAGTGAACAAGAAATTGTATAGTACAGCACCATCATGGGGCCTTCAAGTTCTATTGCAATGAGCAGAAACCCTCCCACACATAGGAAAAAGTGCCAAGCAAGTGGAAAACCATTGCAGAAGACCCAATTGCTAGTTTTCACCTGATAATTTTGGTACTCTCCATATCTCACAAAGATAAGAATTGAACAAGAAAAAGCAGAGTACTGTAGGGAAAGTGCTGGATTTAGAATCAGAGCACTTAGGCTCAAATCACAGTTTGACTTCTCTAGGCCTCTGCTTCCTGATCAACAAAATAAAGAGGTTAAACTAACAAGCTGATTGGGTTCCTTTATGTTAAAATCTATAATCCAATGATTCTGTGATCTTAGTCCCTAGGAACGAAGCTCATATCCTTTATGCTGATCAGGTAATGAGAAAGTAACCTGTATGTGTGGTGGTTGCTGAATGATCTGCTGGTACTGTTGTAGGATCTGCTGTAGCTGGGCATGCTTCTGCATTATTCCCTGATACTGAAAGCCAACTCGGTGATGTTGTTGCTGCTGCCAGTGTGCCGCTGCAGCCTGTAATTGTTTTAACCTGGCCTCCTCCTCAGGTTCTTCAGACTAAAGAAAAAAGAACACAGAATCAAGGTCATTATCTCACACACACACACACACACACACACACACACACACACACACACACACACCCCACACACACACACGCATGCACGCACGCGCGCATGCACGCACGCGCGCGCGCCGCCGCCCCCCCCCCCCCAGACTTGCATAGTATTTTAAAATTTCCCATTGAGCCTTAGGTTCCTACAATTTATTTGGCTGCATGTGAAATGGCAAAGAAGGACTTCTATATATAATAAGGTTCTCTATAATAAGAACACCTGCCTGACAAGGTTCTTGTGAGGATCAAACAAGGTAATATTTGTAAAGAGTTGAGCACAATGCCTGGCCCATAGTAAGTACGTGATAAATATTAATTCCTTTATCCCACAGAGGCCCATACTCAATCACAAACATGGGAGTAGTTATTCTCAAAATTATTAGTCAGAATCCTCAATTCTTCATCAGAGAGTAAACCTGTACATTTATCTATTTACTTTTTCTCTATATAAAAGCTGAAAAGATAAAATTATGATCCTTTTCTTTCCATTTTTTGCAACTTTTATAACAAATGACGATAGGAAACTATTATACTCCAAAATTTTCTTATTTCAAGCTTCTTGGAGGAACTATGACCTTTGGATTAGTACAGTTTCTACTCATTTTCCTGAACCAATACTTCACTGTACTTTGTAATCAGGATATGTCCTTAATGCTACTGAAATGCTAAGAACATACTGCCATATAATATGAAATAATTTAGAAATGACTTAGAATAAAATAAAAAAGGATACAATGTTTGATATCTTTCACACTTTGAAAAATGGTTATATATAAACTACCTAAATATCCCTTCACCATCCCTACAGTACATAGTGTAGGGTCTATTATTTAAAACTAAGCTAAGAGAAAAGATACTTTCCTTAATCTATTAGATAGTGATGGATCTAGTCATGCATTCTTCTCTAAAAGGTTATTTTTTTGTGGCTGGTACATTTTGTTTTGAGACAACAGATGCTTCCCAAACAATCCAAACTACCTGCTTCCCTGTTTATCCCCCTCCAATCAATTAAGTAAAATCATCTACTAACATGCTTAGAACTGATAACACTTTTCAATTTTATAGCTTGCCAATTACAAATAGAAAAGGAAGGATATATATTTCAACTCTGATAGTATGGTACTAACAGGATCTGTTGTATTTGACTTGAGTTTTCTTGCTTTTTAACGCTGTCTTTACATTGGTATTTTTTATTGTTAGGAAAGTATTTTATTATACAATAACATCACAAAACAAACAACTCTGAAAGACTTAAGAGCTCTATCAACACAATTATCAACCACAATGCCAGAAGACCCAGGATGAAGCATACTATCCACTTCCTGCTAGAATTGTAATGGACACAGAGCATAGACTGAGACATGTATTTTTTGGACATGGCCAATGCAGGAATCTGTCCTGTTTGACTACGCAAATATGTTACAAGGGTTTTGTTCTGCTATTTCCTTTTTTTAATTTCTAACTTTATATTGTCAAAGTCAATGCATATATGGTTCTTTTGGCACTTTACTCTCCAAAATTATACATATGTAGCCTACATATTAATTTAAAAATCCCCACTTAATGCCAAGGAATTAAGTGTATAGCTTACCTGGGGCTCATCAGGAGGGAGAGGAGGTGGAACCTCTTCACTTGGGGGTAGTAATGGGGGATCCTGAAACGGAGGAGGTTCAGGTATTTGACTGGTTGTTGTAGTTTCTTCTTTTGATGGCTCTGGTGCATCTTTCACTGCTCCAGGGCCCTTTAGTGGTTGCTGTCCCTGTGCATGTGCTTTTGCCCTTTGCTGCAGGCTAAGCAAGTGCTGTTTGTACCAATACTGTTGCTGTTCCTACAAAGGAAATCATTTGTGAGAATCATTTGTATAAGCCACTTACCCTTGAAAAAGAGTTGAGGGAAATAAAGTGTGTGTGTGTGTGCATGTGTGTGTGTGTGTACAGTCTATCTGCCTGCCTTTCTTAGAAAGGACAAAGACAAAGTATGAAAGAGACAATTAGGTATGTGTAGGCTTTTTCCACCATACGCTAGAGAAATAATTCCAATCCCTCCTTCCTGTGAGATGTTAAAACAAACAGAACACCCTTGGGACATATAAAGTCAACAACTCTAAATACAGACACCTCCTCCACATCCATTCCTCCTCTCCCTCACTCTCTTTTTAGAAGTGTGACTGGTCTCTTGGACGACAGATCAGAAACAGTACTGGTAATTCTCTTTTAACATTCACTTTGGGTTAATCTTCACTCCATGTTTATGCACATTTATCTCATCATCTTATCCCCAAAGAACACAATCAATATCATTTCCTTCATGAAGCCTCTCAAGTACTCCAACCTCCCCATGATCTCTCCTTTCTATGAACTTACTACAATTGCAGTCTGTACCATAGACTTAACACTTTCTTTTATTGCTCTCTAATTGCTTCAGGTCTGTTAATCATATTTTCCCAATTGAAATATAAGTTACTTATGCCTGTACCTTCATCCTCTCCTCCACAACCTCCTATCCCCACTGGTGCCAAGGATAGTATTGAGCACAAAGAGCCTGTGTGGTAAATTATCTCTCCTCTCCATAGTCCTGAATTTTTCTATAGGCCATTCCCCTGCTCAAAGGCTTCAAAGATACCCTATTTATTGCCTCCAACATAAAATAAAAACTTCTCAACACATCAACTGAGGCCCTCTGTAATGTGGCTCCTACCTACCCTCTGCAGCTTTACTTAACATTGCTCCCCTGCACAAAACCTGCATTCTCACCATACCGGAACACTAGCCATTTTCCTGAATCTGATCTCTGGCATTTGTACAAACAGCATCCTTCCTCTCAGAATTCTTTTCTTCCATCAAGGCTCAACTCGCATATTCCATCATCAATGAAGTTAACCCTAATGCCTCTAGTTTTTAGTGTTCACTCTCTGCCTCTTTAAATTATCTCGGATTTACTTCTCTGTGTATGCATTGCACTCCTCAGAACAATGTAAGCTTCTTGGAGTCGAGTTACTTTTTTTTTTTTTTGTCTTTCAGCCCCAGAAACTAGCACATTGCTTTGAATGCAGAAGATGCTTAATAAACGCTTGCTGATTTGAAACAAAAATAGTGCACCTCCCTATGTGCCTCCACCTTGAAGTGTAGTCCACACCTTACTTCAAATTTTTAAAAATCTGTGATTTCATTATTATAGGTACTCGTTCTACAAATGAAAATAGAAACTCAAGTAAATACTTTTCAACTTTTCAGACAGCCAAAAAATTTATCACTATGAAGCCAACCTGGTGGTGGAGACACTTCAAACTTCACCTCCTTTGACAATCAAAAGTCACCACTGGGGGAAAATACCTGAAAACTTTCCAGCTGGGCAGGACCTACTAACAGCTTACCCTCAGCTGCCATAGCTTTTGGAGCCCTTGGTCACCACCAAGCCAGAGTAAGGCATCAGAGGAGGAATTTAGTAAACAAAGAGTTTTCAACTTGACCTTCTGTGAAAAGACACTTCAGTACACAATAGTGTACACTATACATTTACATACATTGTATACATACAGTGCACAATACATTTACAAATAAGCAAGCATAAATTTCATAATGTTCACTAAATATTCAACCAATGTTCGCTATAACACACCTTTAACTTTCTTCTAATACTTCAAACAATTATCCAGAAACATGCAGATGCAGTCATTGGATGAGATGTGTTTGCTTAAGTGTTTGTCTGTTTCAAGGGAGGGTCTCTGAAAAAGGAGGGTGTTGAAATGATGAGGATGTAAAGACAAAGCCATCAATGAAGTGTTGTTTTTAAAAAGAACAGAAAGAGAAAGAAAATAGACTCATCCAGTAACTCAAAAGATCAACAAACCCTTCAAATACTGGCAAAAGTTGAAAATAAGATCAATATACAATTCCAAGACCAGCACTGAAAGATATAAAAATGCAGGCTATTCTTTATAGATTAATGGTTACAGGTCTGAGAAGGATAATATTATGAACCTTGCTGGGCTCTCAATACTTGCTGATTCACTATTTTGTTTAACTCACTGGGTAAGAATCATCCAATTCAATGACAGGAAAGTCAACACATGGTTGAAAGTCAAAAAATGATAAGACACTATCCTTCAAAAATTTCCTCTGAGAAAAGTTAAAACATTATTCCTATTTTTGTCAGAATCACATAATTAGAATTTTCAAAAACTGTGCACTATTAAGTGCACTCAAAATTACTCAAAATCATAGGAATAAGGGCCAGGTCTGAATTCCTATTCAGTGTCCTATACACTGGACCAGTTCTATCTTACATGAAATCTTAGTTTATCTACAATAAGAAAGTCATATCTTAAGTGATAACCCATGAGTTACATTTAAAACAAAACTTAAATCAGTAATAAGATAAGATAAATGGAAATCAAAACTCTTCTGAGTTTACCTCAGACTTTGCAAAATAGCAAAGATGACAAAAGAGGGCAATGTTGGAAGGGCTTTGGGAAAACAGTCACACTAGTGCATTACTGGTGAAGCTATGAATCTGTACAATTCATTTTGCAAAGCAATATGGAATTATGTTTAAAAAGTGGCTAAAATGTCCATACTCTTTGACACAAAGATTTGATTGCCAGGCTTATACCTCAAAGAGGCCACTGATAAGGCAGTACCCATTATACACCAATATATTTTTAGCACCACTTCTTATAATAGCAAAGAGCTGAAAACAAAGTAGATCCCTATTGAATGGAGAATAGCTAAATGAATTGTGGGTACACAAACATAATGGAATATTACTGTGTTGTAAGAAATGATGAATGTGACAAAAACTAAGAAGCAAGGAAAGAGCTACATAAACTGATGCAGAAGAAGCAGAGCCAAGAAAACAACCTACACAATGACAATATAAATGAAAAGAACTACCAAAAATAAGTGCTGCAAAACTATAAAGAATAAGCATGGCTCCAAAGAAGAACTACAAGACACTATCACTCCACTACTTCTCAAAAATCCACAAGCATACATTGCACATATTTTCAGACTTTTTCAATTAGTTATGCTGATTTTCTCCCTCTTCTTTTTCTATTTTGTCTTTTAAAAATGCTACTTATGGGGCGGGTAGGTGGCACAGCGGACATAGCACGGGCCCTGGAGTCAGAAGGAGCTGAGTTCAACTCTGGCCTCAGACACTTGACACTTTGTAGCTGTGTGACCCTGGGCAAGTCACTTAACCCCGACTGCCTCAACAAAAAGCAAAAATAAAAAATAAAAATGTTATTTATTATATGGGATAGTCCTCTGGGAGGCTGAAGAGGAGGAAGAGGGATACTAGAGGAAACTATGGTGATACTTCAAAAAAAAAAAGACATCCAGAAAAATGTGTATGTATACACATACACAACCTAAGTGAGCATTAAAGAAGTATAGAAGGCTTATTTTGACACAAATATGACTTCCTCATCCCTAACTACTCCCCTAAAATTTTTTTTCATAAAACCAAATTACAAATTTGTTAGGAGACAATCATTATGCATCTATTGTGTCGAATACTAGACTTGCAAGTCAAGTAGACTTGAGTTCAAATCCAGCCTTGGACACTTACTAGCTGTGTGACTCTAGGCAAATCATTTAATAGCTGTCTGCCTTGGTTTCTTCAACTGTAAAATGAGGATAATAACTATCTACCTACCTCTTTCAGGGTTGTTATGAGGACAAAATGAAATAATACTTATAAAGTGCTTTGCAAACCTTAAAGCACTCTATTAATGCTAGCTATTACTATACAACCCTATCTAAAAATATTATAAAAATACTTTCAGAATGAGGAAATGTATAATTTATATTTTGTTTAAAAAACAGCACTGAATTAGTATAAGCTGCCTCCTCCAGGAATGAATGATAAAGCATTTATTAATCAATTCCTATGGGCAAGACCCTGTACTAAGGGCTGGTGATACAAATAGAAAAGCAAGACACTCCCTATTTTCAAAGAATTTACATTCTAATAGGGCAGGACAACATATACAGGGTTTCAGTTGTAAGTCAGGCCCAGTGTTTCTTGATGGTAAAACACCTTCTTTAATGTCATTTCTATTGATAAGGCAAGTATCTGTTTCTGATGTTGGTTACATCCTGATTACAGTGGATAATGTAAATTTATTATAAGCCCATATCACCATTTATTAAATGTCCAATTTTTTAATATTTCAAAGAACAAAGAAATAAAAAATTTTAACTTATATTTGTACTTCTATTCTTAAACTTAATCCATTAGGAGATTCTACCTGAGTTAGGTTCATTGATAAGTAACAACTTTGAGACTACGAGTATAAACAGTGTCAAAATTCATTAATTATAAAATCCAAAATATACAACAGTAAATGTTTACAAGGGTTACTTGCCATATATTGGCACTGACATGTAAAAAAATGTTTATAATACAATAAGGAGGAAAGTATCTTGGTAATCAGATTAATTTTAAGAATCACATCTGCCAAAAAACTTTTGTTCAAAATTACAATTTAGTTGCTTCTCGTAAGAGGAAGGCAAATTCAAGTGTATAGAAGAGGCCAGCCTATAAACTGCACACCGATTTGGAATAATTGTAAGCAAATTTTCTGTACGTTCAGAAGACACTGAAATTCTAACGGGTTAGAGTTAAAAGTGGTCTTTCAGGGGAATTGTGCCAAGAGAACCACAGGGGAACTTGTAGTTGAAATGACACCCATGTGGGGATTCTAAACAGAAATACTTCCCCAATAATCTTGCCCTAATTCTAAAGTGCTGCTCTTTCTTCATTCCTTTCCTTATCCTAAGATCATAGAATTGAAAGCGGAAAGAAACCTTTGAAATAAATGGT